ACCGTAAGTGCACCCCAGAGTGACGTACAGATGACAGTGCCAGGCAGTGCCCCTCCCCCCACCACCCAATCAAGCCCATCGATTTCACTTTTAGGTTTTTCCTTGGCAACAAAACAACTTAAAATGATAACCATGCTTCTCTAATATCACAATTTTCAGAAGTAATCTAGGTTTAATTGTTAAAATAATAGTTAGGGCTGGGAGGGGTCTAAATTCAGTGGTGAGGCCCTGGGTTCAATCCTCAACATCAGAAAAAAACAACAGAAATGGTAGGTAGAGGTAAGTGGGATAAATATTTATAAACTTTTCATGTAATTTGAAGGCTTTTTTTTTTTCATTACTGGAGAACCCCCAGGGCCTTGCTCAAGCTAGGCAAATATTCTACTACTTGAGCACGGCCCCCCATTTGTCTGGATTTCAATACTTCTGGGCTATCCAGAAATTCATGCTCTTCCTACCTGCGCCTCTGGAGTAGCTGGGATTGTGCCAGCACACTTGACTTAATGTCTTAAAGTCATGTTGTAAAAAATGGATAGATATGCAAAACATCTGAGTTAGTTGGTGTTTTTTTGAGACAAGGGTCAAGTCTGGCCTTGAACTCACCAAACACCCCAGGCTGGCTTTAACTCTGCGACCCTGCCTCTGCCAAGTGCTATCAATTGTGGCTTTTTTTTTTGGTGCTATGGGCCTTGAACTGAGGGCCTTAAGATTTCTAGGCAGTTGCTCTACCTTGAGCCACTCCACCAGTTCTAGAGGTTTCTTTTAAAGATTATTCGAAAATGTAAATTTAAGGAAGGGAATAAAAACAAGAAAAAGGGCTGGGTGCAGTGGCTCATGCCTGTAGTCCTAGCTACTCTGGGGGTGGAGACTGGAAGGATCACGACTTGAGGCCAGCCTGGGCAAAAAGTTTTCAAGACCCTGTCTCAAACAATAAAAAGTTGGGTGTGATGGTGCACGCCTGTCATCTCAGCTATGTAGGAAGCATAAATCGGAGGGTGGAGGTCCAGACTGGCGTGGGAATAAATGTGAGCCCCTATCTCAAAAATAACCTAATTAGGAAGGTCCATGGAATGGCTTACGTTGTAAAGGCCTGGCCTACAAGCTTGAGGCCCTAAATTTAAACAGGACTGCCAAAAAGAAAAAAAGGAAAGGAACCAGAGAGTAGGGGAGGGAGTCACGAAGGAGCCTATGGGGATGTGCTTGTAAGGAAAGGTAAAAAGAAAGAATTTCACGTGAGAAAGAATTTCGGGTGGTCAAATAAAATGTTTTTCTAAAACAGAATGACTGGATCATTTCCAAGATGGGAAAGAAGACTGTGCAAGGTCTGGGCAAATTGCAGTCTCAGCACACAGAGACTTTAGCTCTTACAGAAGGAAGTCTACATGTGATTAAGTAGGCTGCAACTTTAAAAGTTATTTACCGGGTTTCCTAAAAATCAAATGTTAATGCACCGATAAAAAAACAGAATCTAATTCTTTATGTTTAAAGCAACAAGGTTTCTTGAAACAGTGATCTCCCAGTAGAGATTTACTAAGGTTTTTATTTTAAGTCAGAAACTCATTTTCAGAATTCAGCCGTTTTCTGAGCTGTGCTTTTATCTGCTTTAGTTCTCGCTTTGCTGGGAACTCCAGCCAGCTCTGACTCTGCCGTGTCATTTGTAAGCCTGATGCTCAACACGCTTCTTTTGAAGCCCTAGATAACTCGATTCTTTGCTCTTGGTGTCTCCTGATGTCTGTGAATTACTCATGTGGCCAGACACTGTCAGGCGCTGTTCTCTTAACTACTTCTGCCATGAACACTTCCTGACTCTGAAGGCCAGTGCCTTCCCTCAGGTGCCTCCTCCCAGGGGAAGACACCTCACTGCCTGGCCCAGGTAACTGGTCTGGAAACACTGGGTTTGTGTTTTGTCAGGATAGTTTTGTGTATTGTGGTTCTTTATTTTATTTATTTTTTTTTTTGGCAGCACTGGAGTTTGAACTCAGAGCCTCACACTTGTAAGGCAGGTACTCTTACCACTTGAGTCACTCGCCAGCCCTAAATCTTCTTTATATTTATATACATTATTGATGTAATTATTGTAGACGTGATGTAGAAGTTTATAGAAGTCTAGTGTCCCAACCATGCTATCAGTCATGATTAACTTACAATGTATGCAATAAAAATAACCAAATTTCCTTGTGAATGGCTAACATCTCAGCAAAATTTTAACCATTCTAAATATTTTGTCGTCTGGACTTCTGAGATTTCTCCAAAGGCATTCGGCATCAGATTCACAGAAAACACGTAGCAAGCGCTTTTTTTAATTAGCACGTGTTGATTGTACAAAGAGGCTTCCCAGTGGCATTTCCACATGTCCACGTCTTGTACTTTGATCAGATTTGTGACCAAAGAGCAAAGCGTTTGCTTTTTTTCTTCCTACTTGATTCCTCTAAAATTCAAAATATGTATTTTATTTTTTATGGCAATGTAGGTTTTTATTTTGCATAAACTCAATAAAAATCTGTTTTCTGTAATAGGATACGATAGGAAACATATTTAAAACACATAAAACCAGTGGCTCCAGGGACCCCAGCATCACAGAGAGTGAATAAAACTGTCAGCTCCTCGGGCCCAGGAGCCTCCAGGGACTCCGTACTTTCCACTCTGGGGAAAATGAGACTGTAACCTGGTAAATCACTTTCTTGCTGCAATTATGTAGACAATGCAAACAAATCTGATAAAACTAAATGCATTTCACAAATTGGTGTTTCCTTATCTTTGGGAAAACTAGATTTGAACTTGCTCATTGTTTCCCTGTGGTTTTCTTTCCTACCTCTAGGCTAGACCAGGTCCTAAATTCCTCAAGATCCTCCAACCCAATGCTCTCCCACAGAATCGTTAAGCGGAGACTGCTTTTCCTAAAGCCCTGTCAGCTGAAGCCGGGCAAAGTGAAGTCAATTCCAAGGGATGGTCCCTGTGTCTGACATTTGGGCCACTTCCCACCCCAGTGCCACAACCAGAGACATTGAAAATACAAACCAAATACAACAGAACAAGACTATTCAGAACAAGGCTCTTGTCTCTAAGTTTTTTCTTGCTCATGCCAGTTTTGTTTTGGGTTTTGTTTGTTTGTTTGTTTCTGTTTACAGGATAATGGTGAAGTTAAAATGTCACATGCTGCACCTGGGCTAAGCCCACTGGAGAAATTGAGACCTGGATGCATAAAATAAGAGATACAGGCTCCATGACTACAGCAGGTCTCGCCTACTTTCCCTTGGCATTTGATTTGTCTAGCTGGTGACTTGAAGCCTGGGTTCTTGGTTCAAAACTATCACACAAATCAGCTGGTTATTCTCTTGTTGGTTTGTTTTGTTTTCCCTTTTTAATTATATGTCTGTTCTATGTCAAAATTCTAATATAACTACAACTACCAAAATGATGCTGGACTATTGTTGATAGCTGACTGACTACAGGACAGACAAAATTAAACTTCACAATGGACCTTAGGTCAACTTAACCTGAGAACAACCCCTTGAACCTTTTGTGGTTCAAATGTGGATTTGACTTGACACTGATTCTTAAGTTACCAGTCACTCTTCCTTGCCCTGGGACCAGACCTGACCAGACAAACAACTGGTACAGGTCCATCCCAGCTCCAATGGACAATTAAAACTCAACTAAATGGAGGTGTGGCTCAAGCAGTAGAGTACCTGCTTTTGCAAGCATGGAGCCCTGAGTTCAAAGCCAGTTCCACCAAAAAGAAAAAAAAAAAGAACTGAAAACAAACCTCAACTGTAAGTTGCTGGGCCTAGTAGTACATACTTATAGTTATAGCTACTCAGGAGGCAGCCCAGGAGTTCAAGGCAGCTTGACTCCATTTCAAAAAAACAAACAAATGAAACTCAACTGTAGGATAACTGATCAGTGATTGCTTTTCAGAGAACAATCTTGATCCAAAAGAAGAAATATGAAAGTTGTAAGAATCAAAATAGGGTCACTTTTGTGAAGACTTAATCAAAATAAAAATAAAGCCAAGTCTTATGAAAGAGGGGAATCTCATGGTGTATGCCTGTTGACAAGAACTATGCATAAAATAGTTCTACTCATTCTGTCAGAACCATGACCTTACACAAAGGCTACCACAAATTTACACAAATACTTCAGCAAGGACCCTGCCTAACACCTGCCTGTAAACCTCTTAGTAATCCTCCCAAGGATTACTGCTTCCAAACACTTTATGTAATCCCCATTTCGCCTTCAAAAACCTCTTTTCCTCAACCTCCTTCAATACACATAGCAACACGCTAGCATTCCCAGATGGTTCTCTGGAGAATCTCTGTTATTTAGACAGACACAAGAAACACCCAGGGCTGTGGCAAGCTGCCCACTCACCCACTCTGCAAGAGGCCACCTCTCAGGGGAGGTGCTCTACACCCTGTGCAGAGGCAGTTGTGCCCCAGGGTTCCCCAGCAAAAGAGAGCAGGATCCCCAGGATGTCTGTCTACCTGACCCGCTCTGTCTCCAACCAGCCCCGCAGAGGGCCTGGACCTGAGCTGTCTGGCATGATGCGGGGTGACTACCCCACCCCTTCTTTCCCTGACAGTGTGGGTTTGTCCCTCCTCACCCCGACAGCTGTTTCCCCACAACCATGGTAGGTGCCCTCCTCCTGCTACCTAGTCCTAGCCACACTGGGTCCATTTCTGTGTAGTCTGGGGCCTTTGGTCACCCTGGGCCCACCAGCTACTTAGTGGCCCGTCTCACCCTACCCCCACAGGAGGAGGAAGGAACCCACTATCCAGCCATGTGATCCGCAAGGCCAGGACCAGCTCCCTCATCAGACAGGGACAGAAGGGTGGGCAGGGTGGTACAGATGCAGAAAATCCCTTTATTGGACAAGGCCAGCGGGTCCTTGGCTTCCACGGAGGACAGAGGAGAAGGTCAGGTTCTCAGAGTGGGTGAGAAGCCCACAGTCAGAGGCCCAGGGCCAGTACCCTCGGTGGGAGCTAGGTGGCCAACGGTGATCAGGCCTCGGCCTCGGTGCCGAAAAAGAGAGGGTTAACGAAGTAGCTGTGGCTGGCACTGCTGTCCACCTTCGAGGCTAGGCTGGTCGGCTGCACGGGAGGGGGCGGTGGGGGGGGTCACAGGATCAGAGGACGTTGGAAGCCAAGCCCTGGGGAGACACCCCCCCCTCACCCCCCCACCCCCCACCCCGTGCATCTTCCCGCCCTCTCACCAGCTCCTTGTCTGCCAGGTCGAATACTGGGTTGCGGAAACCGAGAGGCATCTCTGTAGGCGCGGCCTCCTCCGGCCTCCTCCACCTGGGGACACGGACAGGTGAGGTCCCCCAGCCGCGCGACCATTCCACTGGCCACATGCCCGGGCCTGCCGCGTACCTGAGCCTCCCGGTGCGGCACAGCAGCAGCAGGGTCCCCAAGAGCGCCAGCAGCACGGCGAACGCCACGCCGCTCGCGAGCCCGGCAAGAGATCGCGGCGCGTCCTGCCCAGCGGTGGAGCCGCCCTCGACCTGCGCGTCCGACTGTCGCAAGGCGGCCGACAGGACCCCGAGGGCCTCGCCTGCAACAGAGGCGGCTCAGTGGTGCGGGCGGGGACCGCAGCACAGCACTGGGCACGGCTGGGGTGGGTCGGGGGATGGAGCGGGGAGGCGCTTACCGTGCTCGGCCACATCAGCCACCAGGGCCTGGGCCAGCCGCTCCGCCCCGCTCGTCCCGGGCTGGGTCTCCGCCAGCACCACCTGGATCTCGGTGTCCGCCCCGCGCAGCTGGGACACGCGTGACACTTTGGACACAGCCACTTGCAGCCCCTGGTTCTGGGGCTGGGGAGAGGGACGGGGTTGGTCCGGGCCTCCGCCTCTGGAGTCCGAGGGGACTTTGGGGGCAGGGACGGAGGTGGACGAGGCGGGTGCGGAGGATGGACACGTTAAGGAGGAAACCGATTGGGACTCCAGGGACCCTGCAGAGGCAGCCGGGATCGGGACGCCCCTGTCCGCTGCCCGCTCCGCCCCCATTACCAGGGCCACGAAGATGTCCAGCAGCCGCGCTCGGTACCGCTCCAGGTCAAATGTGGGACCGTGAGTCAACGACAGGATGGCTCCTGGGACAGAGGGGCCCCAGGGGTCAAAGCCCGATAGGGAAACAGGAGGAGAGCAGGCCGGGGTCAAACAGGCGGGCCCAGCAAGCGGGGCAAGCAGGACTCTCACCGCAGAGGTCGCAGCAGTGGCCCTCAGGCCGGAGGGCGTTGTGGCAAGCGGCAGGGGGACAGCGACCGCCCAGCGGCTGGAGCAGGGCCGCGCAGACCCACGGCAGCGTCTAGGGTGGGGCGCGGAGGTCAGCGCGGGGAAGCCGGGGCAGCCCGCTAAGTGCCCCAGAGCCGGCCAGCGACGGGTCGCGGGCTCAGTCCCGGGGGACCCTCGCTCGATGTCCCCTGACCCCCTGAAGCCCGCGCTCACCTCCGCGTTGCCGCAGATGCAGCCCGACGGGTCGGTGCAGACCTCGGAGTCCAAGCGCAGCGTGCCAGGCCCGTGGAAGCGCAGGCGGCCCGCGGAGGACGTCAGGAAAGCGGCCAGGTCCTCGTCGCGCGTGAACGTCTGCGGGTGATCGGATGGATGACCCCAGAGCCAGCCCAACCAGGACCCGGAGAGCCTCTGAGTGCTCAGGCTAGGAGCAGCGGGAGGGAGCTCACCGCCCAGGCAAAGGTGGCGACACGGGCCCCGAGCCCTCAACCCCGCTCACCTGGCCCAGGGCCGACACGCTGTGGACGCGCGCGGGGTTGGCGCCTGAGCCGAGCTCCACGCGAAAGGAGGCGTTGGGCGGGAAGAGGACGTCGTCGTGGCGGCAGGGCACGCGCTCGGCGTCCACGGAGAAGAGGCCGCGCGCCTCGTCCCCGGAGCGCCACAGGTGCGGGTCAAGCCAGGAGAAGCGGTCGGGATTCCGGAAGACCGTGGGGGCGCCTGCGGGGCGCGCGTGCTTGAGCCACGACCGCCCTGGCCACGCCCCTCAGGGCCCACCAGGCCACGCCCCCACCCCGCTCAGAACAAGCCCCGCCCCGCCCCAGCCCCCCGCCCCCCGCCCCCGCGTCCCACCTGAGTTACAGTCCGGGTCCGAGCCGGCGCCTGCCGCGCTGAACCCCGCTCCCGAGGCCAGGACCAGCTCCCCGTCCAGCGGCAGGAGCTACGGGAAGCGCGGGCTGAGCCGGTGCGGCCTGGTGATCCAGGCCCGCTCCGCGCCCCCCCGGGGGAGAACCACACCGTTCCCGCCCACCGCCGCATGACCCTCAAGCGAAGGGTTCCTTCCTGGGTTGCAAAAACGAAATTTTAAAACGTCGAGAAGCCCCTGGGGAGGGCCAGAGAAGGCAGGGAGCATAAGGAGGTGATGGTGGGCCAGGGGAGTTGCCCAGTGCAGGGGCCATGAGGGCCTAACATCATCAGTAGTGGTCCACCCAGGCCCAGCCTCAAGTCCCAACCTGAGGGGATAGGGCTTGCTCTTCTGCCCTTCCCAGAGCCCTACCCCTGCCCAGACACCAACGCTGAGGGGCAGATGCATGCACGGGCCAACTGCACCCACACCTGCAGGTACAGCACTGCCAGGGCACAGGACTGCACACAGATGCCACAGAGGCATACGGGCACAGACACGATGTACCACAAGCACAATAGCACCTCAGGAACAGGGGAGGTATTACAAGAAGGAAGCATCAAAACTATGCATCTTTTTTCTTTTGGCAGTACTGGGCTTTGAACTCAGAGCCTTGCATTTGCTAGGCAGACACTGCCACTTGAGCTGCACCTCTAGCCCTAAACAGAACGCATTGATAAAAAGAAGCAGGGTTTGAGGGTGTGGCTCTATGGCAGAGCACTTTCTTAGCATGTGTGAGGTCCCGCATTCTATTCCAAGAGTCAATAATAATAATAATCATAATAGTAGCAATAATCCAAAGGGAAATATGAGTAAGAGATGAGGACCACAACAGTTGAAAAGACAAGCAGAAGCAGGTGAAATAAATGTCAGGACTGATCCACTGCAAAGCACAGGGACATAAGTGTCCATGTCCAGCTCTGCAGAAGGCAGGGGAGGACGGGGAGACCAGGAGATGAAGGAAGTGGACATCCAAGAGCCAAATTCATATAGGAGCGCTGGGGGAGGAAAGGAAATATTTGAAGACACCATGAAGATAAACTTTGCAAATTTGAAGGCAGTTGGGAAACCTTAAATTGAGTGCCAAAAAGAGGAACTGGAAAACCCACATGTAGACATAAAACCATATGTTTATATCAAAGACAAAGAGAACATTCTAATGGCTTCAGAAGGAAAGAACAGATCACCCAGGAATGGAAAGACAATTCAGATTCAGATTTCTCAGCAAGAACAATGGGCACAAGACAATAGAGCAATGGGTTTTTTGAGACATGGTCTCACTGTGTAGCCCAGGCTGTCCTCAAACCGGAAATCCTCCAGCTTCAACCCCCCAGATGCTGGGATTACAGGTGTGTACCACTACACCCAGTTTAGGAAAAGAACTTTCAATTTGGAATTTTGTATACAGTCAAACTGACATTCAAATTCAAGGGTAAAATAAAAATACCCTTAAGCCTAAAATGGTAGGGAATTATGCTCCACAAAGACCTGCCCTGCACGGGGCTCAGAAGAGTGAGAACTCTAGCTGCTGAGATCAGGAGGATCGAAGTTTGAGGCCAGTCCAAGAAAATAGCTCTTGAGACCCCATCTCCAAAATAACTAAAGTAAAATGGACTGGAGGTGTGGCTCAGGTGGTAGAGTGCCCGCTTTGCAAGTGCGAAGCCCTGAGTTCAAACCCCAGTCTCACGGAAAAGAAAAAAGAAAAAAAAAAGGGTCACAAAAAGCAGTAGAGAATTGAATAAATTAGTGGATAATTTACTAGACTTGTAATTAGTTCATCTTTTTTTTTTTTCAGTACTGGGGATTGAACCCAGGGCCTCATGCTTTCTGCTTTACCACTTGAGCCATGCTAAGCATGGCTTTTATTTTTTGTTTTGTTTTTATTTTATAAAATCCCAAGTATCTGGGATTACAGGCATGTCTACCACCGCCAAACCCCAAATGTTCTTCCAGTGAGGGTACTAAACATCCAGCCAACAATTTCTTCTCATAGAAGTTGCTATGGAAAACAGAAAAAATAAATAAATAAAGAGTGAAAATTGTCACCCCATTCTATGAAGCCAGCGTAATTTTGATTTCAAGGTTGAATTGAATGAAGAACAAGATAAGAAAAACACAGGTCCATTTAGCTTATAAATGCGGATGCAAAAAATCCTAAATAAAATATTAGTTTAACTAGAGCCAACCATGTGTTTTACAAATACTGTGTGACACCAAGAGTGAGTCTGGCTGCAGTCCACAGTCCAGAGGTGATGAAGTCCCACTGTGGGTTCACCCATGGTAGCCAAGAAGTCACCACTCTCTTTTAGGATGTTGACAGTGGGGGTGGGGGGCTCTGGGAGTGTGGGGGGGTCATACGGAAACTACCTTCCTCTCAGTTTTGCTCTGAACCTAAAACTACTCTAAGAAAAAGTCTTTAAATACTTAAACTTGATTTAAAAAACAGATAGTGACCGAGTGGACATCAGGTCCCAAGAATGCAGGAAGGGAGGAATGGGGACCATTTCGACCCCCAGGGGAGCTCCAGCAAAAGGTGGTAGAGTCCAAGGCCAGCAAGCTCAATACATTAGGACTGGGAGGCACCATGCCCTGCCCCACAGGAGAGGACTAAGAGGACACCGATCTTTCTAGGAGAGCTGGTCCTCGGGAAGGGAGGACCTTGCATTTCAATCCACGTAGCAAAAAGACACCAAAAATGTTTGATGACCTATTTATGTTGTTTTTAAAGCTGCTAGCTTTAGCAACTGAATTTCCACAATAGTCTAAAGTTTATGTGCTCCAGACCTACAGCCAACATCAACCGCAGTGGAGAAAAGCGTAGTGCTTTCACTTCACAGGGAAATGAGACAAGGATGCCCACTTCCATGGCTTACTTATCACAGAAGCAAGAAATGAAAGGAGTTAGGATTTGAAGGCAAGAGGAACAACTGTCATCACCTGCAAAAATAACCAACCAGAAAGCTGGGCATGATGGTGCATGTCTGTAATACCAGCACATGGGAGGTTGAGGTAGAAGGATCATGAGTTCGAGGTCAGCCTTGGCTATGTAGTAAGACCCTGCCTCAAAAAAACCAAAACCAAAACCCAACTATAATTTTTAAATACAGGGTACTAATCACGATAGAAACCAAACTTTGAAAGTACTTATGAACCCATCAGTCCTACCCAGGACCTCTACGGGGGACATTTTAAGACTGTGAAAGGATAGGGATGAGCAGAAATGTTTGGAGAGGCACTGTGTTCTCCAGCCAGTGACGATGCTATAAATTCCAGGGCCTTGGCGGAGGTGGCAGCTTGGTGGACCTGTTCTACAACCTCTCTGCAATAACCACATCCACAGAGATCCTTGTGACAGAACAGTGAGGGGCTGACGTTCCCAGTGGATTCCAAGATGGTCCACAGAGGTACCGTCAGAACATGGGGCTGGAAGAAGAGAACGCTCAGACCCACTTCTGCCCCAACAGTCAATGAACCAAAACCACAATGCCACAGGCCAAGGGAAGGGGGTGGTGGTGTGGGAGAGGAGGCTGGAACTGGACTCATTCCAAGGGCAAAATAAAGCAGGGCCCCTAGCTGGTGCCACAGGTGGCAAAACTGTGACTTGATGGGTATCATATAGTTGCTGGCCATTTGTGACTGAGGAGCAGAGAAAGGATTGTGCGTGTGTGTGCGTGTGCGTGTGTCACTACTGGGGATCGAACTCAAGGCCTTGCTCTTCTGCCTCTTGACCCTCTCCCCTCCCCAGTCCTTTGCTTGTAGGTTTACAGGTAGGGTCTCTCTCAGAGAGACGCCCTGGGGCGTCCTGCTTGCAAAGCAGGCGCTCTACCACTTTGAACCACACCTCCAGTCCATTTTTGCTCTGGTTATTTTCGAGGAGTCTCAAGAACTATTTGCCGCACTGGTCTATCACGTCTATCCCGATAGGCCATCGGCGCCCTGCCAGAAGGATTTCTTAAAGCACCAAGAACACAATCCTAAAACAGCGGGGTTTGTGTTTGGAAGATTAAAATGAGTTTTGTTCGCGCAGGGCACGGCAGGCCAAGTTCGCAGTGAGAAGACACTGCAACAGGCTGGGTGGAAATAGGAGATCCCGCCACCAGCAACCAGCAGGGCAAACGGCGGAGGGGAGGTGAAGGGAAGGGGAGGTAAGGAAAAGAAAAACTCCAGGGGAGGAACTCCAAAGCAGAGAAACACAACTTAAAACGCTGAAACACCTGCGCCACAACACGACGTAGGTGGCCAAAGCTGAGAGCTGGGGTCTTGAGGGAGGACCCCAGAGAGCTGAGGTCCTGAGGGTCCTGGGATCCCTGGGCACCAAGTCCTGGAGGGCGGGGAGGTGGGGACCCGCGGACTGTGGGCGCTGGGGACGAATGGAGGGACCCATACACGTGTGAGCGCTGCACCAATGGCTGGATAACGAGGAATCGTTAAGTTCCCCACGCTCTTCCAAGAGGGGTCATCTAAGTAGCCCAGGCCCAGGCGTCCACCTCCAACCTGACTCCTCCGCCGCGGGTCTCCTCCCAGCTCCGGCGCCCCTCCGGCTGAGGACGCTGCTGCCAGGCTGCCAGGGCTGGGTGCAAGTGCCAAGGCCGCAAGTGCAGCGCTGGCCTTAGAGGACCGAGGTGTCTCCCGCAAGGCCCACCACCCAGGGACTCTCCGAGCTACGCTGCTTCTTTGAAAACCAAAAGTCAAGCCAGGCTTGGTGGCTCAGGACTGCAATCCTAGCTACTCAGGAGGCAAAGATAGGGAGGATCGAAGCTCGAGGCCAGCTGGGCGAAAAGCTCAAGGAAACCCCATCTTAACCAATAAAAGCTGGGCGCGGTGGTGCGCGCCTGTCATCCCAAGCTATGCGGTCACGTGAGACCCTATTCGAAAAATAAAACACAAGGGAGAGAGGCTCAAGTGGTTGAGTGTCTGCCTACCAAGACCTCCAAGAAAAAAAGAGAACCCAAAGTCAGTAAGGGTGGCTTGGTGGTAGCTCAGCGTGCCTCCAGCACTGGGTTCCATCCCCCACAAAAGTACCCACCTGCCCTTCAAGAGGAAGTCAGGCCTGTGGCTCAGATCCTGCATCTGGGCAGAAGAGATCAAGGCCAATCGGGCACCGACCCCCCAATGGCAGCGCAGCGACAGCCCCCAGCATCCCGAGCCAGTCCCTCTCCCACGCTCTGGGGTGAGGCTCATTCCCGCAGGACCAGGACCCAGCCTGGGAGGTGGCAGCTCTGTGGAGGGTGTGAGTTCACCACGAATGCGCGTGGAGGTTCCTGGAACCTGGACAGTGATGTTGTGAGTAGGGGTCGCCCTTTCAGTAAGGGGTAAGGTTTTCACCTGCAGGCCGCACTGTGGGTCACTCCTATTCATCTCTCCTGTGCCTTCGCGTGCAGTGTCCTAGACACTGACCACGAAACATTACTGTTCTTTTGACTGTTTCCTAACCATTTAAAAATGTGAAAATCGGGGGACGGGGGCGTGGCTCAAGTGGTAGAGCGCCTGCCTTGCAAGCTCAAGACCCTGGGTTCAAACCCCAGTGCCACAAGAAAAAATGTAAAACTCATTCTTAGCTCCAACCACAGGGACTGCTTTGGCCAGTTCCTTGCTCACACATCGGGTGTCTTTCTCACGGGCTTTACCAGAGCCTTTCAGTGCATGGTGAAGCTCCAGGCACATGGAGGATGCAGAAATCCCCAAATTTAACTTTCTTTGGAACATCAGATTAAGAAAAAGGCCCCAGGGTCCTAATGGTGGCTTTCAGGCACCGGGACAGGGAAGTGCTGGGAAGGGACGAAGAGCGGGGTTTCCCCATAGCAAGCCTTACGGAAGACAGACCTGGGGTGGGGGGTGGGGGCGGGACCCGGCCATTGGCAGATGGGCAGTGCAGACGGGGAGCGCCGTCCCGCCCTCTCCCGGGACACAGCCTGGCGGGACCCCCGGGACCACGGGCCCACTCCTGCGGGGACCCAAAGCCAGGCCTGCACCGCCGCCCGGGCCGCCGCAGCCCGAGCCTCACTTACCATGTCCGAGATGGCGTGACTCTCCCGCACCAGGACTGACACCATCTGCAGGAAGAAGTGGCGTCAGCACACGTGGCAGGCGGAGCCCCCTCCCCCAGTCCGGACCTCTCCTGGCACCTTGTCCGCGGGGAACCGGACAGCGTCTCCCGCGCACGGGGTCCGGTTCTGGCTCCAGTTGGTGGCGGTATCGAAGTCGGTGTTGGGGACCCAGACTTTGTAGGCGGCCTGGGTGAGCGCTGAGGAAAGGAGTGCCGGCTTCCCTCAGGGAGGACCACAGCCCGGACGCAGACAGGGTCCCCACGGCGGCCCTGACCTGCCGACTCCTGCTTGACCTGCAGAGCCCGCTCACACGGGCCCCACTATGGGACGCTGGTCCAGGTCGTCTCCCCACCCCGCCCCCAGTTTGCCTAGTTGGAGCAGAGAGTGCCGTCCGTCAAGGACAATTTCAACCAGGGGACGGGGCAGCTCAGACCTCCTGACCGTCTTGGGGTCAAGAGGGTTTCCCAGAGGAGTCCGATCAGGGCCGGAAAGAGCTTTGGCAGGAAGCGCACCCCAGGGAGCAAAGGAGAAGGGCTGGGAGGCCAACAGGGACTGAGCTGCCGTTTTTAAAGCTCCTGGCCGCGGGATGGGGAGACTGAGGCAGGCAGCGAGCCCCGCGCTCACACGCGCGCGGTGGCACACGAGCGCAGGGGCGGCGCTCGGCTCCCACACGGTTCCGCCGGACCCCGGTCCCAGCCCGCTCCCCGGCGAGGGTCTGAGGGACCCGGTGCCGCGCGTCCCAGGCCTACCGCAGAGCTGCAGCCACAGCAGGAGCTGGCCCAGCGTGCCCATCTCGCCTAGATCCGATCCGATCCGATCCGATCCGATCCGCCCCGTGCGCCGCCCCAGGTGGAGACTTTGTCCCGCCGGACCCACGTGACCCGGCGGAGTTGGGCGGGGGGCGCCCCGCGTTACACATTTACCTCCTGACCCGCCCCGCCGACTCCGAGGCACCTTCTCAGGTCCTTCCGGCGCTGAGGACCCCAGGTGCCCAGGAAGAGGGGGTGAAAGACTGACTGCCCTGTGAGCTGGGTGTGGCGATGGCAGACAGCCCCCTTCCTTGTCCCCTACTGCGGGCCTGAACCTGGCCCGCTCATCCACTGAGGTCGGGCGTCCTCAATGCAGGCCCCTCCTGCCTCCAGACCCCGTGGGTTGCGGACACTAGTGGGATGCTGGCAGGAGGAGAGTGGATGGAGGCTATGAGTGGTCTACATGCTGGATTGTGGGCGGCCAGACATCAGTGGATGAATGGTGGAAGAGGGAGACTGAGCAGTGAGTGGCCAGCTGATGGACAAACCGATGCGGGGTGGGGGGGCCGTTAGTGACCAATGGCTGATGGTGGATGGATAGTGAGAGGTGGAGGGTGGATGTTGCTGTGTTGGCAGGTGGATGACAAAAGGATGGGGGATGGCCACTGAGAAAAATGAATGGAGGTGACAGGGATGGTGGAGGGTGGTGAGTGGCTCCTGGAGGGTAGGTGTGGAATGGCTGACGGTATTGCCAGTGATTGTGGAAAGATGGTACATGGCATCTGGATGGAGAATGGTGGGAGGGGTGGAGGTGAACATGTGAACAGTTGCTGGGTGCATGGATGGAAATGGATGACTGGACTGAGGGCGGGTGGATGGGTGAGTAGTGAATAAATGATCCGTGAATGGATAATGACTGGATGAAAATGAGTGAGTGGCTAGAAGATGATAGTGGCCAGGCCTTGGTTGAGTATGGGGTAGGTGGAGAGATGGGTCGGGGTACATGGGTGTGTTAATCGGGTGGAGGGATGCTTGGATATCTGCAACATGCACACAGGGAAGCCTGGATGGAGGGTGGAGGATGGATGTGTAGATGACGGGAGGCAGTGAGGGGAAGGTGGTAGAGGGGTGTGACAATGTATGTGGCATTTGGATGTGTGGGGGAGGGCCACTGAAGGAAGAAATACTTGGCCTAAGGCCCTCCATCGTGAGTCATCCTTCTCTCTGCTGCATCCCCACACCTCACCTGCAGACCTCCCGCCCCGCCCTTAGCCTCCAGTACTTGCAAGGAGGGAGATGCTGGCTGCTAAGGGTGCTCTGGCCTCTTTTATGCACAGGTTGGGCCCTGACTTCTCTGAGTAGGAAGGAGGAAGCCCAGCCCATGGCCACCCTTTATCCTAGTGGGGTTGCCTTCAAGCTGGACAACTGCTGTCTGTGGTCCCGCAGTTCCAGGACTGCTAGAGGGGAGGTCCGGCCCTTCCTGCTGGCTCACAGGCAGCTCCATCTTCATGCTGTAGCCTCAGTCAGAAACAAAGGAGATGTTTGGGGTCACAAGACAGTGGGCGTGGCCACTGTCTTGCTTCTTGTTGGGAAGGAGGAAGTTTTATGGACTGGGCTCTGGCTTGTCATGGCAGAGAGCTGTTTGGGCTGAGGCAGGTCCACCCCTGAGGCCTGGCCAGAGGCTGTAGCGCCTCCTGACTGGCACTGAGGGCTGGTGGGTCTAGAAGATTAGAGGAGTGGATGGCTGGTGCTTGGGGAAATGGAACCTGCTTCCATTTCCACTACTTCCCACCTGCGCTGTGTGGGGAGGGCAGTGAGGACACTTGGACAGTCAAGAAGGCTTCCTGGAAGAGGCAGTATTAAAGTGAGGCAGGAAGGACGAGGTCACAGCTGCAGCACAGTGCGGGAGGAATGGCTGCCACCAGCCATAGGTACTATGCGTTTACACAAGGTTCTCGGCTGCACACAGGTGCCCTGGCACGAGCACAAGCCTTATAAATTGGCCAGGACCCCAGTGAAAAGGCTGAGAAATGCAAAACCCTAAAGAATGAACTCTAGTAATTCTCTAGTAATTAGGAACATTCATGGCATGGCTGCTTCAGGTAAGGCTGGATCCAGAGGGTAGGTGGTGGCTGTTAGGCTGTCTTTCTGTCTTGCTGCTGGTCTGTTTTGACTTGGCCACCCTCCTGAGTTGGTTTGCTTATGTGCAAAGCCTTCTCCCCTAGTTGGCCTGAGAGCAGGATTCACCACCTTCCTGACTGGGCTATTCCAGTAACACCTCCTCAAGGTCTTCAGCGGGTTCTTATTACCAACTTTGCACCAATTGCTATAGCTGGGTTGCCCTGCTGCCTGGCCACTGAAGCTTATGGCCCACCCCTGAAGTGAGGGGCAGCATGAGTGACAGCCCTACTACCCACACGGGCTGGGGGAGGGGAGGGGCAACTGGCTTCTGACGTGTGCAGAGCAAGAGCCAGGGAAGGCTCTGAGGCAGAGGCATGAGGGGGGCTTCAAGGAATGAGGTGGTTAGGGAGGAGAATGAAGGAAGAGGAAGTGTAGGTGCGGCCAAGGTATATTGTTGGTGGTGGTTGGAGGTCCTGAGAACCTGGGAGGGGGTGAACCTAGAGAGTCTCCACTGGCTCCAATGGGCATGGACTGGTTACACCTGTCCTGGGTTCAAATGCTGTCTGAGGCCACACAATTCACTTTCCCTCTGTGTTCCATCCCTTAACCTGCAAAGTGGGTAGTAATGTCCCCCTCACAGGGCACATGTCCCCCTCACAGGGCACAGGACCATATGCCTCTTTTTCTACTGTAGGGAGGGGATGCTTTCTCCGTCTGCAGGCAGTGAAAGAGGATGACATAAGGCCACAGGTCTCTGGATCAAGGGGGAGCCAATGGCTGGAGGTCAGGAGTGCTTATTTGGACTGATGCACTCTGTCCCTTCTTGGGCAGGGTCCCAGCAAGGCTGGCTGGGCCAGGACCTGGGAGTGGATGTAACAAAGGTCATTGCTGGGGCAGAGTTCGAGGCAGTCTGTGGCTGGAAAGAGCACTGATGTCCCAGTGAGCTGCTGCTCTAGAGCGGGTCTCCATGGTGGGGCTTCACAGCACGGGCACAGCAGCACTCAGGACTCCAGAGCCTGAATCAGCTCCGTGCCTGGGCCCCAAGTTCCATGGGGGAGGTGGACACAGGTGTCCCAGCCACTGTGTGCCCCACTCCAGGGGGGCTATTGGTGCTCAGCACCCTCTGAGCTGAAGCAGCTCAGGCCAGAGGCACAGGGCCCAACAGTCACTGGTCACCACAGGGTGTTCCTCCTTGCCCATCGCAGCAGGTTCTGACACTGGCCTCACTTGGAGGTGCCAGTATGCACGAGCACACACACTGTTCACCCTGCCGCTGACCCCCAGGTGCCAGCCCTCTCCCAGCCCCACCCTCAGATCCGGCCTACAAGCTCTGTAGCTACACCCTCTGTGGCCAACCCTGGGAAGTCCTGTGGAGGAAGGGTCAGGGGCAGTGCAGTCAGTCATCTTTCCATCTTTAAATCATGCAGCTTGGGCCCAGGCTGGACCCCCAAATGGCACCACAGCATTGGCAGGATCCAGGCTCTCCTGGCCTTCCTGTCTGGGGTGACCTGCTGCTGCAGAGTCAGAGCAGGACAAGGATGGCAGCTCTCCTGCTAGATAATACAACTATTTCCAGAAAAGTGGGAACACTGGGTTTCATAGTTTGGGATTCCATCTTTCACCTGTTTGATTCTAGAATGTTCTAGCAGTGTGTCTCACAGAGCAGGTGAGCAAATCCAAGCTCTGCTGTAAGCTGCAGTGTCCTGGGCCTGAGCTCCAGTTCTGATGTTCCTCTCCAGACCTCATGATGCTTATTTAAAATGGACCCTTGAGAACAGCAGCCTGTGGCAAGGCATAGCTGGCTTCTGGTCTAGGCACCTTGCCTGCTCTGGTGTAGGAGACATGTCAGCTTCCGTATGCAGAGGCTCTTGAGTGCACCACACCTGTGACCTCCCAGGCTCCACACAAACTCCTAGTTCATTCTCTGACTCTTCAGTCCTTGGGTTCAATGGCCTGTCCTGTGTCCTGTTGTCCCTGGGCCTGAGGGAGGCAGGCCAGTGTCACAAGGCAGCCTGCCTCCTTTCCAGGCTTGGGCCAGGACCCAAAACCCATTACCAGAGCTGCACCTGTCCCCAGTAAGCAAACATAGGCTAGATGCAGCTCCTCCTGTCCCCTGCAGGACTGGTCTGGGTTCTGGCTGGGGGCAGTACACCAGTAGCCCTGGGAGGAGTGGCTGAGAACCCATTTCTCACCTGGCCTTTACTAACTGCTGGACAGCTTTCATGACTTGCCAGAGCCCGGTCTGAAGCTGCTCTGCAGTATCCCCATTGACCATGGGGTTACTGCCACTTCCTCTCTTGGAGGGCTCAGAGAATGACTCCCTGGAGGGTAAAAGAGAAGGATCTCATTTCTGAAGTCCTGGCTGTCCAGTCCTCTCAAATGGAGCTAAAAATTCCCTAGTCCCCTCAGCACACTGCTGACAGGCCCTCAGCCTGGCCCACTATAGTCACAGGCAGTGGCAACACCCATGCATTGCTAGGAGGTTGGTGTGGGGAGATGGGGGAGTGTAAGCACCATCCCATCAAGGGTGTGTGAGTTAGGGACCCCTTGAGATGAGGGGCTGGCAAGGCTGTGCCACCTTCTCTGGGGAGGGTACTAGGTGCCAGGCTGCACTGGGCTTCCTTAATGAAGTAGGGAGGGCTCCAGTTTTAGGCAAGCTCTGGCTGCCACCAGCCTGGGAATGGAGGGAGCAGTGGCCCATTGGGGGCCAGACTGGGGATGGACCAGTTCAGGCCCCTGGTGGGAGACCCCTGGAGCTTGTTCCTGGGTCTGCCCCTTTCAGCAGAGTGCTCTGGGAACCTCTTTTGGAGGCCCATGGCATCTCATCTGGACCTAGCTCTAGCTGTGCCTTGGAGGGTGAATGAGGCTGAGCAGGCGTTCAGCCACTTTAGGTGGCACCTGGAGGAAACAGGATTGGGGTGGAGGCTGAGTGGATCCTCAAGGGAGATACAAGGGTGCCAGGCCTGACTCAAAGGACTACATAGGGAGGCAGGGGGTGGTCCTGTGGTTAGAGGGGGCCCACAGCCCCAGCCTTGCACAGTAAGCACCTGAGTGCTGGTACTGGCACTGCCTTCTGGTGTCACCTTGTTTCACAAGCCTGGTGATGTCCTTCCACCTGACAGATGAGGAAGGTGGGGCTCAGAGTAGTAGGGCTGTGACTGAGCTCAGGTCTGGGACCCAGAGCAGCCTCTATTCATACCAGAAACCTGGGCCCACAACCAGCAGGAGAAGGGCCCTGGCATGCTCTGGATCAAGCCACACCCTTGACAGACAGACACCCCAGGCTCCTCAAGATCAGGTACTGCCAGGGCCACAGGCAGTACCCAGTGCACAGTGAGCAGGCAGGACTTGTCCAAGATATTCACCCACACAGGGTGTCCCAGGCAGCTATTTGGCCCAGTCACTTGTGAAAATAGCTGGAGACCCTCCTCCAGGCCCAGCTGAGAGACTGAGGTAAAAAACCAGGACTCTTAATCAGATTTATTTTCCTCTAATAAGACAGTTTAGCATTTCAAAGTTTCGCATTCTACATCTTACAAACTTTAGTTATTAGCGTTGGAAACACAAAAACATTGCAAGACCTCAAAAAACAAATAAATACCAAATAAAACCACACACGATATACAGTGAACAAAAATATAGAACATAATAATGCTATTAGGAAATCAGACATGTTGCTAACTCCTAGTAACAACATGATTATTGCTGAGCAATAACTCATACTGTCCTTGTTTTCTTAGAAGAGCAGAGGAACACAGGACACGAATCACTGGTCACAATCACTTGGACTGTCAAGATGGGTCCTCACAGCGAGCGGTTACTACAGACGGCAATTTTTAAAACAGGCAGATTAAAAATAGAGTCAAATGAGAGATTGGCCTTCTTTGGTCTTTGTTTTTGGGTAATAGAACTGAACACAACAGGCGTACCATCAGAGAAAAGAATGCAATTCTAGAAACATTCCACGATTGTCTACATGGACCTCCACACTTCCTTCCTCACAGAGATTCTCTAGAGATATTTCTTATGGAAATCCTTGGAAATAAGGCCGGCTTTTGTGTTTTCCAATTACATCATTTAGTTTTCTGTTGAAGGTTATCTTACTTGTCTAAGGGGACTAAGGTATAAAACCAATCATCACCAATCACGGGAGTGGCACAGCGATCCTGGACTTTTAACCTTTTCACAGTGAGCTCACAAGACAGACTCCAGACACGGTGCAGCAGGGAAATGAGACACAAGCTCTGCTTGGCCACTCGGGCTCCTCAACTGTATAACCAGACTCCATGTGGGTCGCTGCTTTGCCCACCTGCCTGGCAATGGCACCCAGGGCCTACCTCAACATGTGGACGATGCCCCAGGATGTTTCCAGGCCTTTGGGATGGGCTGCTGGCCTCGCCTGATGGTCCCTGATGACTTGGCTCCTTAGTAGCCAGCATCACCCAGGGTGAGACAGTAACAATGACCAGGTCACCTGCTGACACTGACCTCACCTGACCCATACTCCCATTGGCAACATTCTACTTTGGAGAAACAGAGCTACGAAGATTTGCAAACGGAAGACAGACCATGGTCTTAGGCTGGGAAGTGGATTTGGGTGACAGGCCCTCACTCACTCACTCACACACACTCAGACACAAAGGGGCCTGGGACCCTCCCAGTTCTCCCGCAGTCTCAGAAGATCTGTACCGAATGTAAAAAAAAAAAAAAAATTGTACCTTAAGCTCTGTGTGAGCCCTTTCTCATGTGCTAACTGCCTCAGGCAGAGGGAGGTGTTTGGGGGCCAAGGGCTGAGCAGGGGACAAGCAGGAAGTCTACAGTGCTTCCACCCTGCCAGGTCCAGAAATGTCTCACCAGGCACATGATGACAGCCTCACGTCGCAACAGTGTGCAGGTGGAGAAAGAAGGTGTAGGCCTGGCTGCTGGAATGGGTGTGCTCCCTGGTCCCCTTTCTAGGCTGATGGGTGACCCATCGCAGGACACCACAGTTGTTCAAGAGCCTGCCCAGACACCCTCTCCTTTGCTGGGTGCTGTCCACTGGCTATCAGGATGCCTGGGCTGCCATGTGACTGCCACCAGTGTCATTAATGACAAGCCCAGGATGGCAGGCATCCATTAGGATGCATGTTCCAGTCCCAAGTGACTGAGAAATTTGGGGCAGGCCGAGATGGTCTGGGGGGTGGCTGGCAACCCTATGGGACAGCACTTGACTTCCATGTCCTCAAGGAGGCCAGTTACATACAGTCTAAGGGAAGCCAATACAGCGAGAATCTTGGTGGGCAGCGGGTTTGCAGGCCCTGATGGAGGCCACCCAATGAGTGGGAGCCCCAGCACTACATACTATGGCTCTCTGGTGTCACAGGCCAAGAAGAAACTGGGATGGGGCAGAGAAAAGGAGGCAGAAGATGTCACTTGAGCAATGTCCTCATTCAGCCAACCATCTTGGTGTCACAGGGACACAGTACTAGATGGCAGAAGCTGCTCTGGGAAAGGGTAAGGGATGGAGAGAGACTAAGATGTGGGCCCTCACCACAGCCCTCTGCTTATTTGCATGGTGAGCCTGCATCAGTGTGTCCAGATTTAGCCTGGGGCTCCAGAGAGCCTGGCAGGTGGGGTGCCGGGGAGGCATTGCCTTCTGCTCCATGGGCCTTACTACAGTTCACACTCATTGCCACCTGGCCTCTTCTACACCACCAATGAACCTGGCATACTGGAAAGCCCAGCTCACTTGAGCCGATTCCAGCTCTAGTCCCAAAGAGCCAAATGAGGCCCAACCAGGACCCCCCAGCCCCCATTCTTTCTCTCTGAGCACCTAACTTTGCTGGGAATGCCTTCTAATCTGTCCTGTATAGGGGGCTGGGCCTTCAGGCCACACATGCCTGTCCAGGGAATGGCCAGAGTAAGTGTGCTATATAAGGTCAGTGGAAACAGGAAGTTGTGACAATCTCCCCTTAGAACAAGCACTGTGTAAGTTTCTTTGAAGAAGGGGACAGTTCTGTCACTGTTAATGAGAAGTGGACACCCAAAAACACACAGTGCATGACCACCCTGTGCTTCCTGTGGCCTGGACCCCGTTGTGGGGGGAGGGCTGGCTGCTGCCAGGACACCACAGTCCAAGACTGGCCTAAGTGGCAAGCACCGAAGGGGCACAAAGGAATGCTGGGGTGAGCAGTGTGAGTCATGTACAGGCAGAATGTGCCCTGTACCTCCCAAGAGATGCATACCAGAAGTTTCTTTGCACACAAGAGGACTCACAAAGGCATGGGGTCATGTCACTGTTACACACATGTCCTCACCCCAGGGGACTGCAGTTACTTCTCTACCACATCCCACAGGAAGGGGCCTTGGTAAAGTCCCACCTATGGGAGTGGGAGTGGGGTGGGGGGGTGGAGCTTCAGCACCTCAAGGCCACACTCAAGAAAGGGACTTAACTTAAAGAAGAAAGCACTTTTTATCAGACCATAGCCTTGCTCACCCTGTTTGTATTGTGCAGACTTCAACAAGAAGGAAGTTGCAGGGATGTCCCGAGGCCAGGTGGGAACTACTGGGAGGCCCTCCCTCTTCCAGGCCTCTGGCGGAGAACTTGGGGGCAGGTGGAAGGAGTCAGGGATGCCTTCAAGGGGTCAGTGAACTCTGAAGTTTCTACAGGAAGTTTTTCCTTATGAGCAGAGATGATGCCTCCATCTGAGGCAGAACCAGAGCCACTGACTTACCCTACAGCAATCCAAGGAGAGTGGGCAGAGGCCCAGCAGATGAAGAGCTGAGGGTTCAACATGGAAAGGCATGGCAGGTGTTTGGAACCAAGGAGGCTGCTCACGGAAGCACAGGAACGGGTGTGCGAGAGGAGGGCACTTCCAGCAGGCACTAGGGCGAAGGCAAATCCAGGACAGATGGCAGCACCAGAGACACAGTGGGCCACCGGGCACCAACCCAGCTATCCCCGCATGACCATGGGGAGAGCCCAGAGGCAGGCAGTCTGAAGTGCGCAGCCCAGCTGGCCAATCGTGGGCGCGTCTTTTGGGCGAGTGGCACAGACGTGGTGGTTTGCACACATTGGTTTTGCCTAAGAAGCACCCGTCACGTGTAGCACCCATCAGTGTAAGAGCACCATGAAGCGTGGTGCATAGCAAAAGGGGCACAGGGGCAGGGCTCCAGGCTTCTAATCACAGTTGGACCATTGAGAGACAGTAAACAGTGAGTTGAGAGTGCTGTCTGGGCAGGTGCAGGCTGGAATGTCAGCCCGGCCACCCTTCCCAACAGGATGGTGACTCGGGGCTGCCCAATGGCCAGCCTTGGCAGGCCCCCAGAGCAGCGGTCTCTGGAATGCTCAGAGGGTTCTGCTTTAAGCTGTGTGGGCTCTAAGGGCCCAAATGGGAACATAGAGAGGCGTGGCCTCTGTTCCACGCCTGCCTCCCTTGGGATGGGGCCTAGAGTTTGGAATCTGTGGTAATTAAGCAGTGGAGGCTCAAGAAGCCGCAGATGGAGCCTGCCTTCCCCTGGCAGTTATGGAGTTGTCTGAGGGCCCTCGTAGAGACAAAGACCGAGCAGTGGAGAAACATCTGGTTAAACTATCACTTTCTAGAATCACGCTTAACACAAACCTAGTGTCAAGAAGCAGCATGTCACAACTAAGGCACATGTACCGTATGCCACCATCTCTGAGCAAAGATGTTGCTTTCGGAGATCACTAACCAAATGCAGCAGTATGACAGAATGAAGAAACACCTGCTGGGGCCTTCTGCAGCACAAGCCACCTGCCCACCCCCGGACACTGGACACTGAGACCAAAGGTCCATGCTGTCAGCAACAGAGAGCTTGTCTGAACATGGGGCAGAATTTTAAAAACCTATAGGATTTTGTTTAGAACTCCAAAGTTCAACTAATGCCCTATTTTAGGGTGAAAACAATTATAAGTCTGAAATGATGCACAGCATCCATGAGCAATGTCCCTTTCATAGTAATTTTGAAGTAGTGTCATTAACTACAACAGATATTGAAGGTTTACATTTCTAACGAGAAATAACAACAGGTTGAATATTCTCTTTCCTATCACAAGTGATAACCAGTGTTTGATAGTTGGCATTTTCTTCCAAGAAATATCAGTCTATCAACGTTTTAAAATAAAATGTTTGCAGTAACAATTATCTGTAGAACTTTAAATTAAAAAATGATTTCTGAATTTAGAGACTTTTGAAAAAAAAGACCTGGGTGTACTTCAGGGTCTTCTGACAAGCAAATTATTAAAACAGAGACCAGATGAGGCCTTAAAAATAGACAATATACTATATTTGAAACAAGATTGCACTGTTGAATTTGAGAATGAATATATCAGAACTGTTACTATTTCATAAATTCTCCTTTTACTCAACATGCTCACATGTCCAGCTATCCCCACCTTTTCTTTTTTTTTGGTGTTCAAGTTTAAGGAAGAAAAATCACGTTTCTTTTGTTTAGCATATATGTCTTCCACCTTAGTTAACTACATCTTTAAAAATGAAAATGAAAACCTTTTCTGACAGCAATATTTACCTCGTTGAAGGATAAATAGCTCTTCAGAGTGGAGTGTGGCTAGTCTATTAGAAAACGTGTCGGGGTCTGTTTTCACGTGTGGCTCCTCCCGCCGGCCGCACATTCGCCTCTTGCTTTCACCCTTCCACAAGGTCCTTTTCTGAGCGTGAGGACCTCAGTGAAGACAGACTGGTTCAAAACCCCCCAGAGGAGTTACCTTCTGCTAAATCTACCTCCCCTTTCACTGGTCAGGGGTCAGGCAGATCCGAAGTATCCACTATGACTTTAATAAAAATTGTATCATCTTTAATATACGTCCCGTTTTCCAGAACAGTTTGGGCCACAAAGACTGGGCAGCCAGAGGCAATATTCATCTCTCCTGTGGGTTTCTTGAAGCTGCTGCTGTTGGGGTCAGGCTTGAATGCGTCTCCCAGGTGACGCCGAGAGGACCCCTGATCCATCAACATGAGCGTCACTTTCTGCTTAAATGGCCACGGCAGCAAAGCATCGTATTCCCCACGCATGATGACAAAAAACAATGACAAGTGTGTCCCCTTTCCCATTCCATCCCCATTTAGGTAGACCCTGGCACACATCTTATAGCCAAAATAGCCAGTGTAGAATGGCTGGCTGTAAAGAGACAGGGTCTTCCCCATCACAGCCTCCTGCTTCCGGCGCTTATAATCACGTATCTTCCAGATCAGCACGCCATTGTAGCTGGCAGTCTCGAGGACCTGGAACCGAAGGTCCATGTCTGCCAGGCGGATGTCGTGGACGCTCAGCATCTGGTCATGCCGGCTCAGCTGGGACTCCAGCAAACCTGCCACAGGTGAGGACAGATTTGGCGAGTGAGATGTGAGCTTCAGAGAGGTTAAGAAAGCAAACAGGCACCAGTGTCTGAACTAACAGCCACACAAAAGCCCTTGTAGCCACAGGGGGAGAACACGTGGCACAGAGTGGGACATGGCACAGGGTAGATGTGGTACAGGACTGAACCCTGCTATGGAAGGTGGGCTGTTGCAGAATGTCTACACTCGTGTTTTCTTCCCTCAACCTGGTAGCCACAGTACACGGACTGTCAGACCACGGCCTACTGAGGCGGCAACCCTCAGTGGATAGCTTAGGGCTGTCTACTCTCTTTTTCCTGTCTTCCAGCCCTGTTGCCCACAGCATCATTAGGCTCCAAGTCTAAGCTGTTCCCTTCTCTAATCCAATCCCACATGCACGACAATAATCCCATTCCTTTCCACCACTGATCCTTTCCACGCAGACAGTCACAGTGCTCATTCAGGCCCAGAGTTACGTGCCACACATCTGCTCTCTATGTCAGAAATGGCCATGCTGGGCAGGTGGGTCTTCTGCCTCCCCTGCCATGTCTACTCCTGTCCCTGGGCCTTTCGGGGTGTGGCCAGGAGCACCCTGACCAGCAGGCCATGATCACCCCTGTGTAGCTTCCACTCAGGCCGATCTTGTTGTTCACCCTGTGGCCATAGCTTCTCCTGGGGAGGACTCTGCACTCTCTGCCATGCTAGGCCTCACATGGAGGCACAAGTCTAAGCAGAAACACTCATCCATCCTGGAGGACTCTTAAGCAGGAGTGCTCTTACCTCCTCTGCACATGCATTATCTGTGACTGAAAGAGGCTGTTGTAAGGCAGCATGTGCCACTTACAGAGGAGAAAGGTGCCATAACACAAGCCTGGGATCAGCTGACCCACCTTACCCCCACCACCCTCACCTGTGTTCCGAGCTGCCTGCCCTGCACTTTTGTCCACGCTCTCCAGCTCAGTCACACGGTTCTGGAGGGACTCCACACTGCTCTTCATGCTGTCTGCTTCCTCCCAGTTCTGCCGGAAAGGACGGATCTCCTTGTCGAGCTCTTTCAGTTTCTCTGCTTGGCTGTCTATTACTCGCTTCCAGACCAAAGGTGTTAAAAAGGCAAAAACTAGTCACAACTCTCTGCAAAATGCCGTGCTGCCACCCACCAAACACAGGCTATCAAGGAATGGAGCAGTAGGCACTTACACACTGGACAAGGCCTGCCTGCCTCCTGGGAGCTCCTCTAGGATAGGAGCTTATGTTCTGCAGGGTACATAGGGAGACGTGAAACTGGAAAGATGACACATCCTTATGGAAAACAACTGAATACCACTATACAGCGTCCAGTATTCTCTGCCAGGAGTAAGCCACCAAGAAAGAGCAGTGAGGGACAGCAAGTGTTCAGATGATCAGACAAAAGGGGCCTTCCACCCAATATCACTGGCATGCCCTTGGGGCAGCAGCTCTTGCTTGCCCTGACACAGTTCCTATGTGGGCTTCCCCATCCTACACTATTCCTGGTGTCAACTGCCTGCCTGCCTGTCCCTTACAAGCCTGTATCTAGATGTCAGCCAATTCTACAAACTCTCATTTCACAACCCAGGCGTGACCTTGCCCTCACACTCCCATGTCCCCACCCTGCTGTTCTCACAGGCCAGCAGCACCTCCATGGGATCCTCAGGCTGCTACAGGCATCCCACCTAAAACCTATGTGTACCTCAGGGGCCATAGGTGCTGAGGGGTCTGCTTTCCAGAGGATAGGATGTAGGCAGAGAGGCCTACACCTTACCAAGTACAAGTCTGCAGGGAAGGTAGCCTCACATTGCTTCATTATAGGGTCTCAGGTTCGGGATTCTGATGTCATGCCCGTGTTACCCTATCTTCCATGTCCGCACTTAACCTGATGCCTGGCCCAGAACAGAGGTGCCACACTACTTCTGTGGCTAGAGAAGGCCCTGGAACTAGACCAGGTTCCAGGAAGAGGGCTCTCCCTACCCTGCCTGCCACAGGTTTGACAGCAGGAAAGGGTGCAAAGTGGGTCCTTAGGCCTGGGCAAAACCAAGGGGATCATGTCTGTGAGAACAGAGGTTTGGGGCTTCCTCCTCCTCTGGCTGGCTCCATGCTCAGGAGTGTGAGGAGGCGGGCAAGCAGAAACTGTCCACAGACACATGTGGCTGCCCATTTATTTTTTTTTTTTGCAGTACTGGGGTTTGAACTCAGGCCTACACCTTAAGCCACTCCACCAGCCCATTTTCTGTGATGCATTTTTCGAGACAGGGTCTCACTATTTGCCCGGGCTGGCTTTGAACTGCAATCCTCCTGATCTCTGCCTCCTGAGTAGCTAGGATTACAGGCGTGAGCCACTGGAGCCCAGCTTTATGCTATCTTAAATAACTCAGAAAATCTTTTTGCTGAAAAGATGAGACTGGTGCTCCCACTGTGGTAACCCATGTTTTAAAGGACTTCTGCAAAGAATCTGTATCTCTACAGCACAGGTCTTGGGGCCGAAGCAGCTGACCACTTGTTGGGTGAGGTTGTGGAGTGGCTAAGCACCTCTGAAGCAGGTAGCTGCACAGAGTGCTCAGAAGACAGCCCGGAGCCACCAACTTCACTCCTTTTAAGTCTATTTTGAACCTGTAGGTTCTGCACCTCTGTTGGATGAAGTAACAAACATGGCAGTTCTAGATTACTTTTCTGGGGCAAAGGCACAGAGCATTCCTCCTGTTCTTTCCAACAAACCTGATGGTAGCTGATGTTTAAAAGGATGATTTCTATAAAAAAAATTTCAAAAATCACCCCCTTGCCAGGTCAATGTCTCTTTATTTTAAACAAGTACACATGGCCAGATCTCATTCATGAGATCTGTTCTCTGGGAGTAAATCCTATTGGCACCTTAGTGCATGTTGAAGCAGTCTGTGGACATTCTCCCAAGCTCTCCCTACCGTGAATACCCCAAGCTAGTGAAGTGCTCATGAGCAGAGGAAACCTAAACCTGGGCTGAGATGGTTGTGGGTGCACTAAGGAATGCCTGGTTGCAGGATGGCCAGGAACGTACACATGCCACTATAAGTCTCATGCCCCTGAAGCAGAAGGAAAGGTGGACCTGAGCTGCTCCTCCTACACAGCTGGTGACATGCATGGGCCAGAGGCATGTGGCACCATGCCAAGCCACTCCTGAGCTCAAGAGCAGAACTGTGGAGTTTGACTCAGGACACTGAGTTGATGTCTGTGTCCACACCTTCTGGCACCTGGAGGTTTTCACCAGTGTCCTGAAGACAGACAGGCCAGAGCTGTACTCCTATGCCAGCCGAGGCTTCCAGCTCCACTATGATTCCAAAGGCAGAGGCTGAACTTCATGTTTCCATCCTGGCTGGCTGAGCAGGGCAGACCCTTTGTTGATGGGGGCTGCCTCAAGGAGCTCTCTACACCTTCCAGCCCTTGGTTCCTGAACTCAGGGAATTGTCTGACCTGAGTCCCTTTCTTTAAGTATGACCCAGCCTCCTTCATGATTTTCTTTTGGTGGAAAAGAGAACTGGCCCATTGTTGTTGCTTCCACAGTATTACCCCTCTGAACTCCATCACCCCTGCCAGTCTTTCTTGCTAATAGCTCATTAGTTTGTTCAATTATGAAAGTTTCTTTTTTTTTAAATCACACACAGTAATTAAACTCCACTTAAAAAGTAAAGTAAATGAAAACTTTTCCAATTGGAAAAGGCAGAAATGAAGAAAGAGACTGCATGTGAAACCTCTGACATTTTGGACAAAAGCATCTCTCCTCATTTCTGCCACAAATGAATATTCATACTCTTTGTTTTGGACATTACTACAGGTGACTTTCTAGCATAGCATTCATTTCCTTGTCCTTTCTATCAGTCCCTCTGACCCCAGGTGAAACGCAACAGGTGCACTGCAAACAGCTTAAACTGCAGTGCATATAAAGGTGGGCCATGTGATGGTCAGGTCCCTGTGGCCTTGGGCCCTCAGCAAAATGCCAGGGGCTTAGCAGGCTTATTGGTGTTTTATGATACACTGCTTAGTTTTGGCTCGATTCAATACTAATCACTTAATACAATCTAAAGTTCAATTATGTTTTTTTTTCCTGTATCTCTCTGGGCAACAACAAAGTTTAATATACGTGAAGTTTAATAAACTCTGAAATTCAGGGGACTATGATTAACCTCCAGTGTCAAAAGTGAGGAAAGGCATTCTCAACTCTGCTGTGACCTTGCATTATTAGAAACCATTTATTTTATTTTATTTTTTTGCAGTACTGATGTTTGAACTCAGGCCTACATCTTGAGCCACTCCACCAGTCCTTTTTTGTGATAGTTTGTCTTTTGAGATAGGATCTTGTGAACTATTTGCCCAAGGCTGGCTTGTAATCACAATCCTCCTGATCTCTGCCTCCTGAGTAGCTAGGATTACAGGTGTGAGCCACTGGTGCCTGGCTAAATTTTATCTTCTTGACATTTTAGGAAAACACATTGTAAGTATAAGCACCAAAAACCACTTCAGTGACATGGGTGGTTCTTCTGTGGGTGTGACACCCTGGGTATTCCTGTAATGCTGCACATGGTACAAGGATAATCAAGTAACAGTACCCAGCAGAGACTTGTGCCTATAACATAAATGAGAACAGCATTGTCATCAGGCCCATTTATATAATTATCTTGGTTCAGAGTGGCAAAAGTTTTATTTGTTGCTTTGGGGGTGCATCTGGATTACTACGGTGAAACAAAGCTCGGTAAGTGTCTATGAAAACTCAGAACAAAGCAGTTTGGCTTCATTTCAACTTTAGGAAGTGAAACTTTGTACACAAGTACTCATGAACAATATGATATCTTAAACAGTAATAAAAATAGCCTTTTCCCCCCAGTACAGTACAGGGGATGGAAGCAGTGCCTTACCCATGCTAGGCAAGTGCTCCCCAATGAACTATACCCCAACCAAAATAGCTAATTTTTAAAACACAGCCTTTAAATCTTACTTCACCCACAGTAGATGGAAACAGAAGAGAGACAGCAGGCCAGCTCCCTAGGCTGGGAACACGCTACCTGAGTCTTCACTTAAGCAAGACAGCAAGAGAAGGATCTGGGTCCTCTGTCTGCCCAGGAAGCCCTGAGGGAGACACAAGTAGCTCCTCTGCCCTCTAATCCACTCAGTTTTAGGCTGCTTACCTGTAAATGAAGTATTTTGGATTCATTATTTCGAAGCATTTCCTTTTGTCTCTCAATTTCAATTTCAAAGCTACAGATCTGATTGTGCAAACTTTGTATGCTCTTGTTTTTTTCCACACTTTCATTTTGCAGCAAGGAAACCTGAAAAAGAAATTCTTCAATTAATTTAACAAAAAGCGGTTTTGATATTTAACAACAATCATGACAGTAATTAAAAGTTCACAATATACATCTCCTACTGGCTCACTAAAAGGAATTCTAGGAGAAAAACCCATTTGCACAGAGAATGGAAGTCCTGGAGGTTAACAGGGAACCCAATAGACTGTTTTTCAAAATTTCTCCTGGTAATTAAAGTGAGGTACATGCAGCAGCTGACTGAATTTCAGAATGAATGGGATGTTTTTTTAAAAGCGTTTGCTGAAAACAAATAATTCTTTCATCAAATTAGCTTCCAAATTTTGACCAGGAAATATAGTAAGAAAGTCTTACATTTCACACTGTTTGCAGAAACACTGTGTGGGCATATACCTGAAAAATAGGTTTCACAAAGCCATCCTTGCCCTAGTAACTTCTAAGGCACCCTGACATTTTCTACTGTACTCTATTTAACTTGAAAAGTGCTAGTCCCCGGAGGGCATTCTGCTAAGTGGAATCTGCCAGGCATATACACAAGACCTAGAGTACCTCATGATCTCACTTACAAGTAGACTCTAAAAGGCTGGAATGAGAAATGGGGAGAGGGGTGCTGGAGAATAAGGAGATGGTGGTCGAGGGTACAGAGTTACAGTTAAAGGAATATGTTTTTGAGATCCACTGTATAACATGGTGACTACAGTTAATAGTAATATTACAGCCTCACTCAAAAGAACCACCTATAATTCAGCCAATCAAAGGATGGGGCTTTAAGAGAGCATTTCCAGGCCCACCTTTGACCTTTTCTTTCTGAAAAGTAATTGGTCCTGGGTGAGTATGGTAGCAGATGCCGGAAATTCCAGTTATTTGGGAGGGAGAGGTAGGAGGATCATGGCCTGAGGCCAGCCTGGACAAAAGCTAGAGACCCTACCTAAGAAACAAACTAAAAAGCAAAAAGACTGACTCAAGCTGTACAGAGTTTGCTCATGCTCGAGACCCTGAGTTCAATGCCTTGCATGGCATTGCCAAAAAAAAAAAAATCTCCCAAGGATGAATTTACCCTGAGATGAAGAGTCCAAGGGCAGAGCCCGTAGGCTTCTAACCTCACAAGGTCTCTGCAAGGGGCTCCTGACCTTGAGGAAGAGCTCCCATATACAGACAGATGTCTCTGAACACCCATCAGGATGCTGCTACTGCTCTAAAGGACCACAAGCATCCCAAAGGTCCCAAAGGTCCTGAACCCCACAACTTGCTTTTGCAGCAACAAGCTCTCTGAAGTCACCGAGGCCTGAGGACCAGGCTAGCCAAACATCACACAGGCAATGGCTTGAGATCAGCTCAACAAAACTAGATGTGTAAGAACTGATTCCTGATCCCTGGCTTAGATACAAGGTCCTTTAAGGCAAGGAGTACCTTTGGAGACAATCACCATTAGTTTAATTTTACTCAGCAAAAAATCAATTTTCTTTCCTAATATGTAAGGTTCCCAATGTCACGAACTCCTGTAATATCAACTTATAATAACATAGAAGGGGGCATCCTTGGTGCCACCCATTGGTTTTTGCCTCTTTTTAAGTTACAATTCACTCATTTCCATCTGGTAAAATTTCCAAACTCTATTCTCATACCCCTGAAAAGAGATTTTGGACAAAAAAAATCTCAGTAGTATTTCTAAAACATCTACATTTTTTTCCTGCAACAAATCAACTATGAGCAGAAGCAACTTAGGATAATGAACATATATCATGCCAAATAAATTCTTACTACTTTCTTTCATTTAGGGATTCCCTTGTTTGAATTTATCAAAGAACCCAACTCCCTGGTGCCTGCACATTGCTGCTTTCATCCATCTCTTAAGCAGCTGCCATCTGCGTGGGGAAGTCTAGCAGCAAATGTGTGTCTAAGAGGCACAGGTAACATCTACATGGTCAATGAGAACTGGGGTCCCCACCCTTCCCATGACCCTCCATACAGAGAACATCCTTTACCTCAGCCCCTACACTGAAGGCATTGTTAATTTTCCCTTTGATTTAAGCTTTCCTAAAATATAAGAAGGGTGTTTATTTAATAAAGTCCAGATTTTATAAAGTTTTGCTTTAGTTTGATCATAAATGTGAGGACCAGTCTTTTGGAACCAACTCAAATATTCTTTTTTTTTTTTTTTTTTGGTAGAACTAGGGTTCGAACTCACGGTAGGCACTTGCAAAGCAGGTACTCTACTGCTTGAGCCACACCTCTAGTCCATTTTGCAGATGGGGTCTAATGAACTATTTGCCGGGGCTGGCCTCCAAACTTGATCCTCCCAATCTCAGCCTCCCAAGGAGCTAGAAATATAGGCGTGAGCCACTAGAGCCCAGCTTCTATTTTCTATTATGAGGAACAAAATTGGATAAGAGATTCCAACAGAGTAAGTCTATAATGAGAAATAAATTCTCATTTTAAGAAAATGTAAGTATCTCCATTCTTTTTTTTTTTTCATTTTTCTTTTATTATTCATATGTGCATACAAGGCTTGGTTCATTTCTCCCCCCTGCCCCCACCCCCTCCCTTACCACCCACTCCGCCCCCTCCCTCTCCCCCCCCCAATACCCAGCAGAAAGTATCTCCATTCTTGATTCAGCTTTTACTTTGGATAATCACATATCTCAGATCCACTAAACTATCATGTAACTAGCACAGTGGTGACAAAACTAATTATTAAAATGAAAGGAAGAGGCTTTTAAATGAGAAACAACAGCTGTGAGACAAGATACCCTGAGATTTTATGCATGTAATTTAAAAATGGCAGAAACAGAACACATTCTTCAAAAAGAGTGATAAAAAGACGTCTAGGTAAACCATCAATGAACTCAGAGCAGATCCTATGTGCTCATGGGAAAGTCGCCATCAGCTCAGCTATCACGAGCTTCAGTTCACTGCTGAGCAGAAAGCTCCTGCTGCACGTGTGCATGTGTACGGCACACCCCCTCTTAGTGCTTCTCAGCTTCATCTTACATGCTTACATTAGCAAACTACAGGAACATTTACAAAAGGGGAGAGTAACGCAAAGTGCTGAACAGACCAAAGTAAAGCATACCCACAGTGGGCATACGTTGAGAAACTCCTTTGAACATCAACTTAAATATTAATAATGAAAGTCAGGACTGTAAAACAGGTACACATGTGTGTGAGAGGGTGTAAGTGGGAGGGGGAGGGTGAATGAAGGAGATTAAGGTGAATGTATATGGTTGATGGACTTCATATAGCTATATGAAATAGAACAAAGAAACCTCTTGCGATTGCTTTAAGTGGGGGAGAGGAGGGGGTTGAGGGGGAAAGACGAGGCAATGTAAATAATGTACAATATAAGTCTAATCTACATAGTCACTATTAATCCCCCTGTATAATGAATATATCCTAATAAAATTTATATTAAAAAAGAACATTTACACTTAACACTTAAGCCAGGTGTGGTAGTTCCCAGCTACTTGGGAAGTAATGGCAGGAGGATCATGAGTTCAAGGTCACCCCAGGCAAAGGCAGCAAGACCCTAACTCAAAAACAAAATACAAGCTCTTGGAAGGAGACATTAAAATCTTTACAAATTTTAGAAAACTCCAACGTCACTCCCTTGACATTCCCTCCTACTATAAGTCCTCCTTTGCTGCATGTTGAATATTTAATTAAATTTGTATTTTTATAAAAGAGCTGCAATGGGAGATCCTATAGCAACTTCTTCTCTATCATTTCTTGAAGGGTTTCATCTTCTCCTCATGAAAATATGGCTCCTGAGGTGAACATCACAGAACAAACTGAACCAGGAAAGAGTGTTCTAACAGGAAGGAGCCTGACACTTGTCCACAGCCCCGAATGGGGCCTCCTGTAAACAGCAGAGACATCAGTCTGCTAGCAGTGGTTCTATCTATGTTAGTGCGTGAGATTTTCCATGTCAGCTGAAAAAAATCAATGGTGAACACATGGGATATAGCAGTGTTTTTTTCCTTCTTGTTTCTCACAGAAGACATAGTTATAAAACATTTAACACAGATAACCAGACACATCAGGAACTGGCAAATTTGTTTTGTATGGAGTCAGGCAGTAAGTACTTTGGTCAGTGCTGTCCATATGGCTCAATCTCAATGCTCCACTCTGCTGCTCAGTGCCAAAGCAGCCACAGACAATTCACCTATGTGGAAGGTGGCTGCCTTTTACAAAATGAAGTGTGGGGGGAGAATTTGGGTGTTTGACAACCTCTGCTCTAGATCAATGTTAAGATAATCATGATACAATTTAAAAAAGCACTGTATACTTGACAATTAAAAAAACAAGGAACAAACATCTGCATTTATAGGCTCAAGATCACATGAAAAGACTTTATTGATCGTCTCTTGATGCTGTTTCTTTTATCTCCAAACCATTCATTAATAACTATAAAAAGCGATTTCCTCTTTAAATAATTTGAAGAAATGATAAAACCCCACAAAAGCCAGGAGCCACATGCCGACCTTCTTCTCCAAGGAGTTGCTCCACTCCTTCAGCAAGTTGACATGCTGCACGGCAGAGCTGGCCTCATGTGCCTTGATCTGCTGGTTTGTCCCCTGTGAGAGCAAAGGCATGTCGCATTAAGACAATCACTCCATCAGAAAGACTAACATACAACTTAAAAAGTGGCACTGCATATGAAAGGGGTTTATTCATGTACAGTGACCAGGGAACTCTGGGCCTCAGAAGGCGCACTCAGGCACCAAGGCTATGGTGTTCAGATGAGGAGGCCGTGCAGAAGAGCACGCCAAGAGAAGACATTGCGATGTTGCAGAGCTAAGCTCAAGTTCATGCTCCTCCTTCCTCAAGTTCTTATCTCCAGTGGCTTCTCATCAGCATTTCACATTTGCAATATCAAGAAATTATATTTTAGTCTTTCTTGTTCCATTATAAATCATTAAAATATAAGTGGGAAATGTTCCCGAACCTGCAACAGCAGCTAGATACCACTCTAGCAGTCAGTGAACATGCAGCAAGTGGATTCTGAGTATACATTTGCTATGTATTAGCTTATTAACTCAAATACACTGCATCCAAAAAGGTGCTGCTCCTCCCCAGTCTGAGAATACTGAGAAAATTACATACAAAACATAAACAATCTACAGAGTACATAAGATGCAGACCATTTGAGAGTCAGGAATAACCACATTAAATAGTGTTTTGTATATTTAAGGAAACAATTAATACGGGAATATAATTTGTTCTGATATTAGAAAATTAAGAAGCCAGAGAAAGTATTTTCATGATCTCCAAAACATATACTCTGTACATAGAATATCCATATATATATGTTGATATAAGTGCTGCTCTATGTCAACATACATATATACATACACAAAGAGAATGAATGGCACTACGTACGACATAACAGGGGGCTCTAGCTCATCCGAGACTAAGCAAGGGAGAACTCGTTCTTACTTTCAGGTTTCCTTTCTCAGAAATGCCAGGATGCTGGGATGTCTGTACTGACTTCATAATGATATACTGATGACACATAATATATGATACTTTCATTGTAATATAGTTTGCCTTTTGGGAGTTTTAAGATTACAATAAACATTAAAATGAAAACAGTCCTAATTCACTAGCAATCAAAAATGTGTTAAAAAAAGAAAACAACAAAAACCAGACACAGGTTTCTCATGCTGTGTGTGGTGGCAGCACGCTGTTTTCTGGGGAGGTGTGGTTTCTCTACGGACTGAGCTCAGTTTGGATCTGGCCCTGGTGGGGGGTGAGAGTCAGCACAGGTGTGTAAACAAAATGCATTTACAGACACTGGTGTGTGTGATGCTTTATAGTCAAGTAGTGACACACACGATACTGAAATATGTCTAATTTGATATTCATTTATATTCAAATATTAAAATTTCCATAGAAACCCCACCATATGTCATTGCTATCTGCCCCACTCCTAGCTAGCTTTGATGTAGTAGTTCCCCTAATATACTGACTTCCCCCTCAGCAGAGTGTCCACCTGAGTCTCACCCATACCTGCTGCATGTGACTTTCTTCACCCATGCAACAGGGTGTTTCAGTTGCATGACAAAGACTAAGAGTCCAGAACCTGCATGTTAAAATGTTAATATAAAACTTTCTCTCATGGCAGAATGTCAGTGACTACGAAGGACAAATGCTGGATACTGACCTGAAAAACGCAGCCATAGCGCTTAAAACTACAGGTGCTGGGGGCATTGACACACTCTGACAAGTGTGCACTCAACTGCAACGGGAAAGAGACGTGAGTTGTGGCACAAACGTTTGCATGAAAATGTTCAAACATACCAGGGCACAGAGAGCATCTGGGCTTTCCTGTTAAGAAGGGCACTTGTCAGCTACAGATGTGTACATCATCCTCTTGTCACACTTAGAGGCAGTAAATATACAGTTTCATCACGTGTACACACACACACCAATATACAGAAATACATTTACTACATCTACTGTAACATTTCTTAAATTTGCAGTTTCTCTAGAACAAATTGTTCAAAATGTGACATGCCATCTGAAGTGCCAGAATTTGAAGAAAAAAAAAAAAAGGAAAAAAAAATGTAAACTGAAATGCACATTTAAAGACTATAAACAAAAAGTGCATGAAACACACACATAAAAAAAATAGAAAGCATTCGGGATGCAACTGGGTCACATACCTACCTAATAAACAGTGCACAAAAATCGATCTACTTTCAAAGCAAGCTCACAGAATACACCATTACTTGTAATACTCAGGATAATTAGAGATGAGTTTTTCCTTCGTATGAAAAGACTTTTCCCTGGCATGGCCAGAAACTCACAAGAGATTTCAAAAACCTCTACGGCCATTTTAAAACATGAATCTTATGTTGTCTTCTCTAATTGATACAAGGAAAGTTAGGCGTGGAAACATACAACTAATCCCACAATGAAAACTCTCTCATTCAGCTCCAATGTTGGTGAGGCAGCAAATAAAAATCACTTACAATGCCCCAGAAGAGAGAAGGAAACTAAAAAATCCTGTATTTTAAAGACATAGAATTATGTACTAGGATAATACAACTGCAGGCCTGCAATGTACTTTCAGTATGTCACCTGCCTTGCCCCCAGAGCCTACATAATATGACAGGGTACAGCTAGGATTAGAACTTCTTCTCAGTCTACCAGAGTCAAGGTAGTCATTCTTCTAGGCTGGTATTTATTTATTTATTTAATTTATACATATGTTTGTGGTGGTACTAGGTTTTGGACTCAGGGCTTTACACTTGCTAGACAGGTGCTCTACAACTTGAGCCACTCCATCAGCCCTGTTTGTGTTGAGCATTTTCGAGATAGGATCTTGCACACACTATTTGCCCAGGCTGGCTTCGAACCATGATCTTCCTGATCTCTATGTCCCAAATAACTAGGGATTATAGGAATGAGCCACTAACACCTGGTTACACTGATATTTAGAACAGAGGAAAAAATGGATTCCTGGCCTCCCTAGCTCTCTGGCCCTGCTGAAATAGCCCAGAAAGAGACCTATGTGGGACAATGACCTGAGGGACCTCTGAAGCCTCTGACACAGCTACCTTTGAGAATGGTCTGTAAGCAACCCAGAGTTGTGGTAGTTAAGGATCAGCAGCCTAACATGCTTGCTGTTTCCCTGAACCTGGCCAGGAAGTCCTGGGTGAGACCTGGAAGAAAGCACCCAAAGGTCCCTATCAAGTGGTGGGCATGGAACCTCACGAAGATGGCACCTAGCAAAGTCAACTTAAAATTTTAAAACAACATTCTTTCAACACCATTACTATGGTCACAAATCTAACTAGATAACACGTCCAATGCTAAATAAGGAAAGATCACATTTGACATGTTTTTTGAGTGTACTACTACTATAAACTCAAGTGTCCTGCCTTTTCCTAACCTAGTTTTACTACAGTATTCTCCGAGCCCTATAGAATTTTAGGAGTCTCAGAATAGAGGCAAGAGTAACCTACAGCCCAACAGATCCTTTCACTAGAAACCAAGAGAAGTGCAGGTTTAAAGGTTTCATTTTGAAATAAAAATAACTCAAAGGCAATACAGAGGCAACTTCTAATTGTAAACCAGAAATTTCAGAAAGGTCTGAAATTTTAGAGTGTTTTTAAGATCCTGGAAATTATTTCAACAGTACAGACTCTTCACACACTAACTTTAACAGAAGGATTGTCCAGTTGTGGAAATAATTTACAAGCACTTCTGCTAGCTGCTCCCAGAGATCTCTGTCACCAGGCAAGTCCTGGGAGTATGTAATTCCAGCAAGCATGGCTCTGAGGGTCCTCTCTGGCCCAAAGCTCACAAAAGCCTTCTTGCTTAGTAAGGATATACATGGCTGCCCTCCTCCCAATATCCGTTGGGAAGATTTCAGGTTGTTGGAAAAGGTAGAGGTGAGCAGGCACCTCAGATAAGAGCCTCTAAAGGCTCAGCAAGCACAGTGGCTCGAGGTCAGGTCACATTCAAAATGTTAAGAATATTTGGAATTTTTCCATCAGAGTATCCATCTCAGTCAAGTGAAGCTAATGCCTGTTTCAAAAAAAGTGCTGAGGCCTGTGGGATCCACAGCCTCTGAGTATCCCCTGCATGTTCCCTTAAGGCAGCAGTGAAAACCCCTGAAATACGGGAACCCCCTCAATCTTCCACAAATATTTCCTACCAGAAACACCTCTACCTAGTGAGGTAGTCAAAATGGTTCTGGAGTAAATAAGTTAATTCATTTCTGAGATAATCTTACAGTAATTCACTAAAGTGTCACCTTTACTTGCATTGTAGATAAAGTATTCCCATTTTCTCAATTTTTAATTTTTTTTTTTTTTGGTGGTACTGGGGTTTGAACTCAGGGCCTCACACTTCCTAAGCAGGCATTCTACCACTTGAGCCATGCCCTGGGCTCCCATTTTCCCAATTCTTAACAATATTTTTAGCCCTGAATTTACCTTTTTGTAGCTTTTTGTTGCTTGCTTTTAATTTCCAAAAAATTCATGTCATTTTTATTTGTTTTTCTGCCATTATTGCCATCATGAACTACGAAAACATTAGACTTCAGCCATTCATTCAGAAGAGTGGAGGCTACAAGATGCTAGTCCTGAGGACTTTACAAGCTCCCTATAGGGCCCTATCTATGCCTTACCTCGCTCCTCAGAAGAGTCTGAACGCTGCACTTGTGAGGGCAGGACACCACGACACAGGGACACTCGGTGTCTTCATGTTTCTACAGAGAAAAAGGAAGTGTGTAAACTTTGAAACACATTGTCTGTTTTCCTTCAGTCCCCACCGACATGCCCATGTAGACTAAAAGGAAGCTTTGCTCACTGTCCTCAGTTCCTTAAGCTACAACACTCACATTATAACTGGCTGAGTGGTGAAACCACTCTGTGGTTGAGTGGTGAGAGTGAGTGTCTCAGGTATTCAGGACATCGAGTCAGATCCAAGTAGGTAGGCAACTTGTACAGAACACTGCTGGCAGACGCATCCTAACAATAGCTCCCTTAGCAGTGTCCCCAACATCTTCGCTGCTGTTGGTTCACAGGGCACTTGGTTATGCACGCTCAGAGGGTTCTCCTCTGGCCTAGCAGTGCACAATCTGGATAGGATGCTTCTCAAATATGTGAAATAGCATAAACTACTAAGAATTTAAAGTATCATCCTGAAATCTTATCTAGATTACCTTCAGTGCACGGGTATACAGACACATTTTGTTTTAGCCCTTCTCTGAATGGTATCAATTTCATCTTTGTAGAGGCCAGGGGATGGTGACTATTAAAATTAGTGTTGGGACACCTACTGAACAGCTGGTCACAAGCATGTGCTGGACACCTGTCCAGTGCATCTGTTCACAAGCAAAGCAAGGACAGCAAACCCAAAGGTCCTGGAAAGCATCATGATCTACAACAAAAGCAGTGCCAGAGATGGACATGCCAGTGAAATAACCACTGAGCAAGTAGGACCCTCAGCAGAATTCTCCCCTGTGGCCCTGGGACACTTCCAGGTCTCATCAGGTTTTCTGGTTCTCTTTTGACCTCAACAGAGACACTGCTATTTAGGTAGATGAGTGGAAGACAGTACTACTTAGTCTCAGTCTGATGAGGCGGGTACAAAGGTGAAAGATAGTGGCCCATGTGAGGAAATCAAGTGCTCAGAAAACAGGGTGCTCCACTCTGAGGAAGGCCTGGGTCAGGCACTGGGCTTAGCCTTGTTTTGTGTATTTTTAAGACCGCTGACCCTCTCTATGTACACAGCGGGTCTGCAGTTCAGACAATCTATATGGTACAGGCCCACAGAGCCCAGGGAGGACAAGTCCACTGCCATTAAGTGGACTTCAAGCTGACCATTAAGACTGGACAGGACACATCTGACCATAGGTCTCCCTCAGGGGTGACACTGCAGTGGGACCCCAGCATATGGGGCATACCCAGATCCAGAATTCCCAGGAACCACAAAGTCAAGGCTTTGTGCATTTCAATGGGAAAACTCTAGCAAGTGGCCTCATCTCTCTGAACTCTGAACACTCATCTGTAAACAGGGAGTGATCAGATCTCTCTCCTAAGGGTGCTGAGGGCTAAATAAGCCTCAAGTTTACTTTAGCTGAGTATTGACTGAAATACCCCATAGGCTCCACAGCTGCTTCACCTCCTTCCTGAACCCGTGTACTCCCACAGTCATTAACCTGGATGGACTGTGGCTGCTGCCCAGGTCAGCTCAAGGACAGTGGAGAGGGATGCCTGGGGTGGTGCCGGGAGAGAGTTAAGGAAAACAAAGCTTAGGGAGGAGTGTGTGAGGCCAGGAGGGCAGGGCAGGAGGTAAGACTGGGGAGGTCAGGAGGACAAAACAATCAGGATATTTGTAAGGCCAAAACAATCAAAACCTATGCAAGGATGTCTGAGTGGTAAGTTTCTCACAGCAGGTTTTGTAGTTATCAAAGGGTACCTACAAAAGATATTTTAAATTGGATTTGGATAGATGTTGCCATATTGCCCTCTAATAACCGAGTTATTAGAGGGTAATCTTTATTTCCACTCTCTTGAGAATACAAGTTCCTACACCTTTGTCAATTCTATCAACCTTTCACTATCTGACAATCTGGTAGGTGAAAATACAATGTAGTGGGACCTGTAATTCTCAGGTAATATGTGGCTAAGCATATTTTTTTATATTTATTAATCACTGATATTTCTTTATCATATGAATTACCTTTTCAGGGTTTCTGCCACAGTAGTGGATTGAATAGTGTCTAATTAGAATATAAATTATGTCCATTCGGGACCTCAAAATGGGACCCTTATTTGGAAACAGGGTCTTTGTAGGTGTAATCCACACTGGATTAGGACAGGCATTAAATCTGACAACTGACATCCTTAGAAGAGGCAAGGACTTGCTCAGGGAGACAGCATGTGAATATGGAGGCACAGTTGGAGTGGTACAGCTGTAAGCCAAGGGCTGCTAACAACCAGAAGAATCTAGAAGAGTCACGAAGTAGTCTCCCTCAGAGCTTGCAGAGGGATCATGGCACTGCCAACACCTTGATTTCAGATTTCTAGACTCAGAATGATGACAGAATAAATTTCTGTCATGTTGAACCATCAACTATGGAACTCTAACAGGTTCTTAAACTGCTTTTGCTAAAGAGCACTAACTCCTTAGTTGGGTCCATGAATTAACTAAAAACAGAAAAACTGAGCACCCCTGCCTCCATTTTTGTGTCTGTCTTTGCTCTGAGTCACTCACCTTGTAGGTCATCTTGGAATGTAGGAAGAACAGGACTGATTGATAACATGTTTACAAGGAGGGATGGAGGAAACTGCCCCAATGAAAAGGAACAGCACAGCCTCCTCAGGACAGCCCACCAGAGAGGCAACAATGACTTGTTCATTCTAACCAGATTGGTCTCCTCAAGTAATGATAATGATAATGATTTCTCCTGAACCTCTCCCAAAACCAGAACTGAGGTAATAATCCACCAGGCCACACTGTGACTGGGACTGTTTAGTTATGCTTATCTCTTATCCCCTGCCCTAATTCTTTTTCTATTTAAATATGTCTATGCCCCCCCAAAGATGGGTTAAAGTGCTTATTTTGACTCTTTCCACAGCTGCCTGCCCATGTTATGAAACCTTTCTAGGTGTGCAAGAATAAAGACATGAGTGTGCACCTGCTATACCAGTGACAGGAACTGAGCATGCACCAGCTTTGCAGGACCAGGACATGAGAGCAAGGGAGAGGACACACAAGCAGTGACTTCAAACACTCATGCTTGTTAAAGCTGTTACAGGCTTGAGACATATTGTACTATCAACACTGTTAACATGGTTTACAAACAGTCTTCATCACAAGAGCATACTGAGCTTCACATAGAATACTGATTTTTCTAACTCAGGTTTCAAACTTGCTAGTTACATTCTATGTCTAAGCACCTATTGTCCTCCTCCCTTCTTCACTTGACAAATTCAAGACCCAGATCAAATCAAACACTGCCTCCTCACTAGTCTTCCCCAACCCCACCAGGTGAATTAATCCTTCCTTGTTGGTACTTTATTCATATTTTGGTCACAGTACACTACAGTGAACTTAATTGTGTACTTGGCTATCACCCTCATCAGACTATAAATGGAAGGAGAGAGATTGCAAAGCACTCATGTGCATACTGAGTAACGACTATAGGGTCAGGGGCCTGGGAGGCACTCCACTGGCACTTTGTGAATCTATGCTCCAAGCTTCACATGGCCAGTTATTTATATGGTGTTTAAATGAGAGGCTCTACAATTCTTTCTCAAGTGAAAATTAACTGAATTCTACTCTGCAAATAATTAATTTTGGGGGTCACACCTGTAATTACAGCTACTCAGAAGATGGAGGCAGGAGGATCCCAAGTTGGAAGCCAACAAAGAAAAAGTTAGCGAGACCCTGTCTCAAATAGGAAATAAATACTAGGCACTGGTGGCTCACGCCTGTAATCCTAGCTACTTGGGAGGCAGAGATCAGAAGGACCATGGTTTGAAGCTAGCCTGGGCAAATAGCTCCCAAGACCCTATCTTGAAACTTCCCAACACAAAAAAGGGCTGGTGGAGTGGTCCAAGTGTGAGGACCTGAGTTCAAACCCGGTATGACCAAAAAAGAAAAATACCAAAAAAAAAAAAAAAGGTGTGGCTCAAGTGGTCCAGCTGCTTAGTACACACGAGGCCCTGGGTTCTATATCCAGTACTCCAAAAAAATTGATTTTTGCAAGAAGCAAAGTGTAATTTTGACAGCAATATGTTAACACGTGTAAGGCCTGGAGTATTATTCATTAGTGTCTTGCTCCCTGCACGTAACTGGAGGAATTATAAATGATAACAAATGCTATTGCTATTTCCCAAAGGGGAGAGCACAGTTCTTAAAAAGTTCTTAGTAACTGCTATTGTGTATAGTATCCTAGAGGGAAAAGATTTCCCCATTAAAGAGAGTCTCCAACCCATGTTGGTGATAGGAAGTGAGGTAAAACAAATGGTAAAGGGGAACATATTTCATTTCACAGGGAAAATTTTGGGAAGGAGACTTTCCCTAAATTGTGATCATTAAGTGCTCTGGAATGTATACCAGGAACTCAATGATGGCCCTCACATGCTGGCTGCATTCCCACAGTCTCCTCCCCTTTGATGACTCCACTAGTCACCAAGTATAGCCCCACCTGCCTCCCAGGCTCTCCAGATCCCTGTCCCATCCTTATTTTCACCTCTCTCAGCAATCTGGAAGTATCCCATGCCCAGATCTCTATGAACTCTGGCCTTCCTCGCCTCTGGTTCCAGTTTCTTAGTCACAGGACTACCAGTTCATATATGCATGTGGCCTAGACTGCTTCCCTTCCCCATTCTCCCCAGCCTGTTATCCTCATGAAGCCCCACCTTGGCAGGATACCCTGGTTCATCCAGCTGCTTGTCATAGTACTGGCATCATCTTTAACTCATACTCTGTTCAGCCATCAGCTAATCTCACTGCCATACCTTCACGATGGATCCCAGTATGACAGCTCCTCCTCCTTCTGCCCACCCTGCCTCCCCATCTCGAGGCTTACAGGGTGTTAACCTCATCTTCCAGCTGCCCCACTACCATCACATTTCCCTGTATTCTACAAGGTTCCCCTGTGGGCCCTCTATGCAAATCACCCTGAAGTCAACCTGACTCCTCCTTCTCTGACACCAGGTGATTTTTTTTATATCTCTTAGGAGCACCTGACACTATTTGTGAATTACTTCTTCCCACTAGAAGGTAACATTCCAAGGAAGCCCAAGCCCTGGAAGGGCATCACACACAGTGGGTATACAGCAAGGATTTGCTCAATAAATGGACTGTTTTTAAGGTTTGTTCTCCACCCTCAACATCTCTCCTTTCCTCTTTCATTTACACAGATGTGATATGATTCTAACATATATACAGTACAGAACCATGCCAAAATGACTGAGAGAGGAAAACATTTCAAATCCTCATTTCTCTCCAAAACAGCTGCACTTAAACACTGCAGGATAAATTAGCCTGCTGTAAGTGATGGTTATGTCATACAGCTGTGAAAAGATAAGCACTCCATCAAAATTTTGAGCCCATTCTCTGGGACAAGTTACAAATTCTACCTTTTCTGAATAATCATTCTTCATTTTTTTGATACCCCAAATGATATTCAATCAAGGCAATGGAAAATGTTAATTATATAAATCAAACAGGCAAAACAAATACAGCTTTACACTGAAAGAAAGTTAGATGAAAATTGCTATTTAGTTTCATCTTTCTCTTTATTCCTGTTAGAATCCTCACTTAAAAGCTGCTCTGTGGAGGAACACATGGCATCTCACTGGGCAGAAGGGTGATGGGTGAGCAATACTGCACCTGCAGTGTGATCATTGGGACTTGGCTCTTGCAGTGGCTACACGTGGCCTCACGGTATTTACAGGCCTTTTCCACGTGATCCCGCAGGTCTTTTCTCAATACTTTTTCTTTGCAGTCAGCTCGCACACAGGGAAGCTCCTCAAACTGGCACTCATTTTTTAGGTGCACCTGTAGAACAAACCACTCAAAGTTCTTAACTAGCACAAAAGTGAAGTCTCAGATGTTAGATTCCAAAACCTCTATGCAATGAGATCCTACAGAATGTTGCTAATCTGATGTTAGAGCAGCTCCTCAGCACAGAGTGGCAAGCACACCACACGTGTGCTGCATCAGTGGTTACTGCGAACAAGGGGCTAAGCCAATGCTTTCTCCTGGATAAAGAGACTAAGGAATTTCATTTTATTCCAATTTTGATATCCTCTCAGGATAAAATATGATACCAATAAAGCCAACTCAGATTTCTCTCTATTCTAACTAGGGTGTATGCCAATGATGTCATGAAAGTGACACTGCACATCTGGGGATAGTACTACTTTACTGCAATGGCTGTGTTTTGAAAGAATACAGCAAATATGGCCTTAAGGTGCCAGATCATCCTGGCCAGGTAGTCAGCTGCATGAGGTGAGGGACCTATATTTCTTAATGTAAAAGCTTCCAGTGCCACCTGGGTACTTACCAGCAGATGTCCCAGTGTTAACTGCTCTGCACAACCTCTGCTTTCATTCCGACAATAGATCTGAAGAGCCAGGATCTCTCTCTTGCAACAATTATCCTTAAACACCTGAAATAGAAAGATAGTTACTTTAGAGGATTAGTACATCTTAATCTCCACATGCTGCTATTTTGGACAAGGCAAAACCACTTTAAAAATTCATGAGAGCAACGCTTAAGTGGACCTAGGAAAGCATTAAGGACCATCTTAATTTCTACAAGGAGAATGAAGGAGCTGTCCCCACTAAGAGATACAACTTAAATCATATAACCTTAACTACTAACTATCTTTTATTAGATAAACCAAAAACAAGTGGATTACACTGAATTAGTGAAGATCACTTTGGAGTATCCATGCTTCAGGAGCGCTGACATAACCTCAGGGTAAGGGTGTCGCAGGCCTAAGCTCTCTGGAGACACAGGAAACAACACTGAGCAGGTGGCCATGGGGAGTGCACCTTCTACCAAAGGGATCACTCTCACCAAACACTTGCTAGAGTGGGACAATTTATAAAACATTTATTTTGGTTTCTTCTCCTGAGGTTATGCTTACAACTCATTTTTCACCAAAAAAGAAGATTTTAAAGATTTAGCAAATGGGAAGTTAATAATGAAATGTTTCTTCTTGAAAATGAAAACCTGCCTGCTTTTAATTTTATTTTCCCTTGAAGATGAGTACTCTTGCTCTAACAATACAGTCTACAGCATCTTAGTCCTCAGGCATTTGTGAGAAACTTCCATCTGTTTAATGCTCTTTGACAGAGAAAAACAGGGCCCTTAATACGCCTTTCCCAATTCCACAGGAAGAGATGGAATTAGCAGCTATCAAGTTAAAAATAAGTTAATATGGAGACAGACCTAATCCCTTCATAAATACAAGTTTTAAAGGTCAAGAGTTAAGATACAAGTGTCAACAAAACAGCTATTTTTATTGGGGAAGAAATAAGCTGCTTTTTTGAACTACCAAATTCCTTACATTAACAGTACAGACAAAAAAACACTTATTGAAAACAGAAGAATAACAAAAGTATAGAACTTAAGAGCTGATAAGGTCCTCAGATTATTTACTCCAAATGTCCCTTTTCTAGATGAGAAACCTGAGGCCCCTATCACTCAGCGACAGCGGGGAATGTCTGGGTCTCCTGGGTCCCCATGGCTTCACTCTGTTTATGAGGATCCATGGCTTTGGTTTTAGTCCATTTTATTAATAATTCTTCAACAAAACTAATCATTTTTTTCCTCAGCTATCAATGTAATCGAAAAATGTGGATAATTCTGAATAATTAAAGAGACACTAAAAAACACACCTTAGCTTGAGATTTCAACTTTGCCCCTTTAGGTCAGTTCTGCTTGTCAAACATATGTGAAGCGGGTAATTCACTACCATACTAAACTAAGGAGTGGGGTTGGACCATTTTTTTCCTTCCTTCCTTCCTTCCTCCCTTCCTCCCTCCCTCCCTCCCTCCTTCCTTCTTTTCTTCTTCCCTCCCTCCATCCCTCCATCCCTCCCTCCCTCTCTCTCTTTCCTTTCTTTTGTGTGTGTGTGTACTGGAGTTTTAACTCAGGGCTTTATGCTTACTAGGCAGGCAGTCTACCTCTTGAGCCTTGCCTCCATCTCTTTTTGCTCTGGTTATTTTTGAGATAGGGTCTCACTTTTTACCCAGGACAGCCTAGACTACGATCCTCCCATTTTACGCTTTCTGCTGTTGCTGAGATGGCAGTGCATACCACCATGAAATGGGGGTCTCATAGACTCTTCTCCCCCATGCTGGTCTGGAACCACAATCCTCCCAATCTCAGTCTCCCACATAGCTAGGATGACAGGCACATGCCACCATGCCCTACTATTGGTTAAGATGGGTCTTGTGAACTTTTTGCTTGGGTGACTTGATCCATGACCTTCCAATCTCAGTCTCCCAAGCAGCTGATTGTAGGTGTGAGCTACTGGTGCCTGGCTTGATTAGTTTTTCTTGCAATAACTACCTGGACTCTTAAGCAGAAAGTCAATGGTAAGAAAAAGCACACAGAGGGTTGGCCAACTCTATCTCTAAACCTTCCAGAGTAGGTTGTCAGATGCTCTTGTTCCCAGCAGTCCAGGGCCACCTGCTGCCAGCAGCCTTACATGGCTGTCCCCACCTGAGCTGCTCTAACCAACAGACCCAACACCTGCAAGAGCTTTAAACAGGAAAACCCCAGAGCAAGAATCTTACTGCACAATTTAATTACCTACATTAAAAAAACTGTTAGGTTCATTAATCAAAATATTGGAACCACACACATTTTTATTGATGTTTAAGTACTTTAACAATGAGCCATTTCAAACTACGACTGTGTCTGGCAGAGTTTAGCAGTGCATGGATAGCCACCTGTTGGACACAGCATGAGAGGGGATCAGGCTCCAGGAAGAAGCTGGTCTGTGAGCCTGGGTGGCCATTCACACCTTAAGTGTGCAGTGATATCCATGGGCTTTAGCTGGCCAAACATGGGGAAAGAAGAGGGGAGTTCATTCAAGTCTAATGACTTCAAGACACTGTGGGGGGGAAAGAACAAATTCAAATGGACACCTGAAACTAGCAAGTTTAAAGGTTTACATTCTTGTGAAATAACTGAATATAAACTGTTGAGCATACAGACCTAGGAAGACAGCAGTGACCTGACTGCAGACAGTCCCTGCCACAGACAGACACCTTAGCAATTCACTTACACTAGCTCCTTTACTCCTTACACACCCTGGAGTGAGGGGTTGGTTCTTAGCAGATGGTATAGTACTGGTATGGGTAAGGGGATGGGCTCAGAGGGCAAAGTGCCTTGCAGGAATTATACAGTTGAGGACCACCAAGTGAACATTACTCCCATCCCCCAAGTCTGCCCACATGCTCTACTGGCATGTGTTGGGTCTTGGCACCTGCTGCACCAACTGTCAAAACCAAGATAAAACAAATTCCAAAACACTGAATCCAAGCTACATGAAGAGTACTACCCAGTGTAAAACACTGGACAAAAGAATGTATTGAAAAATCAAGAATACCTTGTCTGGAGAAATGACCCAAACATTGTATGCACATATGAATTAAAAAAAAAAAAGAATACCTTGTCTTTAATGATGCTTTCTTGACACGCAGTACACTTTGGACTGGAGGAACTGAAGGAAACAAGAAACCATGTTAGAGCAGCAGTCCCTCTCTCCAGGCTCTCCGCACACAGAGCAAGTTCCCTTGAACCTTGAGCCAGGCCTGTCCCAGCTCATGACAACAGACGGAGCTTTGGGATGCCACAGAGGATCTGATTTAAATATGGAGCCACAGGAGAAAGGTCTAAATTATTTTTAAATGGCAATTTTCAAAAGGAAGCTAGTAAGTACAATAGCTTAGTTCAGTTCCACTTAAAATCCCTCTCAATGAACATGAAAATGACATGTCCTACCAGAAGCCACTCTAGCTACTGGCATCTGGAAGCATCCAGATGCTCTTGTCTTTGGCTACAGCCAATACATCCTCCATAGTGAATTTTTTTCACTGTGTATCAAAAGGCCAATGGCCTCTCTCCATGTACTTCTCTTGGGCCAAAGGTATGGTCAGCTCCAGGTCCCATGCTAGGGGAAATCAGGGGCCGAGCCCATTGTGCCATCACTGAGCTCAACTCACACTGTCTCACCCTCAAGTGAGCAGAGCAGATTCGGCTATTTGGGCCAAATGGATAAGCTCATAACAGGAAGACTGGGGTTGAGATGAAGGCAGATAATAGATAGGTAGGAAAGCTGGCTCCTGTGCTCACACCTGGAGCAGCCAAAGTGGGAGTGGCCAGTAGGGAGAAGGAGCTGAGTGTGCTCCCAGGCTGATGTGTTCTGAGGGCAGCAACCATGTGGAGTGCATCCTGCAGTGACTCCAGTGCCCAGCACAAAGTCTGGCAAATATACAACACCTAAAGGATGAGTAAGATGCTTTCTTGGCCAATGCTATTCCTGCTGTCCAACTCCAGCCTGCCTTTGTAATCACCCAATGGTGTCGATACTTGGCTGATGAGGGCTGCCATGGTTTTGGTGCATGTTCTATGTGCACCTGCTTCATTAGCACGCAGACTGGATTCTGCTCAGGGGAACCCGCCTTAACTGTGTGCTGACCCTGACCTCCCATCACCTGGACCAGCAGAGCTCTTATAACTTAATGAGTGGTTCTTACCAGCTGGTGTGCATCTCCTACACAGAACCATGAGCTCCTTGAGCAGAACACAGCAACAGAGGCAGAGGACACCATGGTTTCATGGTAAAGGGAGGCTTCATGGGAGAGGCTTGAGGGAGGCAACCATGAGTGGGGGTGAGAGGCAGGGTACACAAAGCCTCAGTAAACTCACGCATGGAATCCTACTCCCAAACAACCTTCTAAGCTGGGCTCTGAGACTTTTGTTCACTTCCTCAGGGACTGAAGCCTCCAAGATTTACTTTTTTTTTTTCTTGTGGTACTGGGGTTTGAACTCAGGGGCTACACCTTGAGCCACTCCACCAGCTCTTTTTGGTGAAGGGCTTTTTTTTAAGATAAGGTCTCACAAACTATTTACCCAGGCTGACTTTGAATCGTGATCCTCCTGATCTCTGCCTCCTGAGTAGATAGGATTACAGGCATGAGCGACTAGCACTCGGCTCAAGCTTTACTTTTGAGGGGAAAAAGTAAGAAGTGGTGGGAGGGTGAGGACAGGCACAGCAGGCCAGGTCTGATGGCCATGGGGTGTGTGACACCCACCTCAGCAGAGCAGTCATGCAGCTCTCACAGAACCGGTGCCCACACTCAGTCTGCTTTGGGTTGCACAGCACCAGGCGACACTTCTCACACTTGTACTTGTCCTCCACAGTCTTCACGAACTTCTCCTTGTAGCCTCCCTGGTCAGGGACGAACACGGACCCAGCACTACGGTCAGGCTGCAGCTTTAGTGGCGGGTTAGGCTGCAGTGTGCCAGCAGAGTCCATCTTTTTACTCGACTCCATTTTTGGAAAAAGAAATTCTGCCAGGAGAAAAATAACAATAAATAAACAGAGCGCCATCCCATCATCACCCAGTGCAAAGTTGTAAAAAACATAGTTTTGGAAAAGCAAAAGTGACTGAGTGACATGCTATCTTTCATATGTTTTAAAACAGCATGAGGTAATCTTTCCCGACTACACTATGTGATGGGAACAAGACATGACCAAATAGCTTCCCTCCTTCTATTTTACCCAAATGCTACTGTTAATGTTACATTCAAAATACTTTCTAAAAGGTATACTTAATAAACCATTTTCAAGGTTCTTTAAAATATACATAAATACTTTGCTGTGTTATAACTTCAAATTTTCAGCCAAAGCAATAACCATTCTCAGCCAATTTTATTCCTAGTTAACTTCTTGACATGATGCTGAGTGGTCCTGTCATACCACAGTACTACTTGTAGTCAGGCCTGAGGCCAGAATAGGACCAACAGCAACACGTGCTGCAAACAACATGTTTCTAGACCACTCATGAAAAAGCACTAGGACAGCATGCCTACACAACCCCAGGCACTTGTTTCTGTCTTCTACGCTCATTTTACCAAGCCTTGAATCACCCTGACACAGCAATGCATGCAGAGCCATGGCTGGCAGGGTGCTGTCACACTAAGCCTGTGAAGAACACAGAATGAAGGCTCCCTTCATATGAGTCTGAGGTCTAGGCAGGTATCAAGGTGCCCAGGGATAGCAGAGGGATACTGGACTGGACAGAATCTTCTGTGCCTGTGGGCAAGCTCTGTCACACACCAAGTACAAGTTTCTTTGTAAGGACGGTAAGGTGAATACTTGTAAAAATAAGCCACAAAGATTCTAGCCTGGGCAGCTCTGAGGTCAAGTAAATAAAAATATGTAAGAATATAAAGCAGTTAAATAATGTTCTGGAGGTGTGGGTCAAACAGTAGAGTACCTGCTTTGCCAGTGCCTGTGAAGTCCTGAGTTCAAACTCTAGTCCTACCATTAAAAAAAAAAAAAAACATGCCAGGTGCTGGTGGCTCACACCTATAATCCTAACTACGTTGCAGGCTGAGATCAGGAGGATCACAGTTCAAGGACAGTCCAGGCAAATAGTTTGTGAGACCCCCGCCTTCCCAATTTCCAAAACAACCAGAGTAAATAGACTGGAGGTGTGGTTGAAGTGGCATACTTCCCGCTCTGCAAGCACAAAGCCCTGAGTTCAAACCCCACTCTCTTTTTTCTTATTTATTTATAATAGCTGTGCTGGGGGTACATTGTGACATTTGCAAAAGTTCTTATAATATATCATAGTTGCACTCATCCCCTTCATCATTCTCCTTTATCTCCCCTCCCCCCCATTCCTGGAATAATTTCAACAGGTCTCATTTTTCCACTCACATGTATGTGTAAACAATATTTGCACCATATTCACCCTCTCCCAACATCCTCCCCATCCCACTGGTACCAACCCCCCCAGACAGGAGCTGTTCTACCCTTCTGTTCTTAGTTTTTGTTAAAAAAATAAAAAAAGACATTTTTGTTTGTTTAAAATAGCTACATTGATTTCCTTGTGACATTTTCCATGTATATATGTATTATAACCCTAACTGGTTCATCTCTTCTATTTTTCTCCTTTCTACCTTAGTCTCCTTATGATGATTTCAACAGATTTAAAAATCCTATATTCATTCTTGTATGGAAGTATATCAACCATATTCACCTTCTTTACTTCTTTTACCCTCCCTCTCTTGTATGTGACCTCTCCTTAGAGTGACCTGTTTTCCATGATACTGTATGTATTTGTGTTAGGTCTGTATTCCACATATGAGAGAAAACATGCAGCCTTTGGCTTTCTGAACCTGGCTAACTTCACTTAAGATGATGTTCTCCAGTTCCATCCATTTACGTACAAATGACAAAATTTCATTCTTCTTTATGGCTGAATAAAATTACACTGCATACAAATACCACATTTTCTTAATCCACTCATCAGTAGTGGGGCATCTTGGCTGTTTCCATAGCTTAGCTATTGTGAATAATGCTGCAATAAACATGCGGGTGCAGGTGCCTCTGTTGTAACCTGACTCACATTCCTTCAGGTATATCCCTAGGAATGGTACTGCTGGATCATATGGCAGTTGTATTTTTAGTTTTTTGAGAAGCCTCCATACTGTTTTCCATAGTGGTTATACTAATTTACATTCCCACCAACAGTGTATAAGGGTTCCTTTTCCCCCACATCCTCACCAACATTTGTTGCTTGTGTTCTTGACAACTGTCATTCTTAACAGGAGTGAGGTGGAATTTTAATGTGGTTTTGATTTGCATTTCCTTTATGGCCAGGGATGTTAAGCATTTCTTCATTGTTTTTTTTAAAGCCATTTTGACTTCTTCCTTTGCAAAAGCTCTATTCAGTTCATTTGCCCATTTCTTCATTGGGTCATTGATTTTTTGAGAGTTTAGTTTTTTGAGCTTCCTGTGTATTCTGATTATTAATCCTTTGTCAGATGTATAGCTGGCAAAGATTTTCTTCCATTCTGTGGGCTGCCTCTTCAATCTGGTGACCGTTTCTTTTGCTGTGCAGAGCTTTTTAGTTTCATGTAGTCCTAGTTATCCATCCGTTCTCTTAGTTGCTAAGTCTTTTGGGTACTATTTAGGAAGTTATTGCCTATGCCTGTAAGTTCCAGCATATTCTCTGCTCTTTCCTGCACTAGCTTCAAAGTTTCAGGTCTTATATACAGGTCCTTAATCCACTTTGAGTTGATACTTGTACAGGGTGAAAGACATGGATCTTGTTTCAGTTTTCTGCATACAGAGATCCAGTTTTCCCAGCAACATTTGTTGAAGAGGCTTGTCTTTTCTCCATGTTTTGGGCATCTTTGTCAAAAAATCAGGTGGATGTAGCTGTTTGGATTCATACCCGCGTCTTCTATTTTGTTCCATTGGTCTAGTAAGGACAATTCTAAAGTGAACTTTCTTGAACACGTATTTTTGCACATTCTGGCAAGTGCATAGCAACAGAGCTGTGGGTCAAATATGATGTGCATTTTAAAATATTAGTGGTATTGCCCATGTGTCTTTTAAGAAGGAGATGCCTGCACTTCCTCCAATGTCTACTACTATTGAATACTATCTTAAGCCTTGCTCAAGTCACCCTGTGACATTTCCTGCTTTTCCTCCGCGGCAACCATGTTTTTCTGGAGTGTATTACTGGCCACACTGTTGTCCCAAATGCCAGGATTCTCTTGTGAATTCTCATCCCATGGGGCTCTGTGAACAGGATTCAGGCTCAGAATGCTCTTCTGTCGCTACTGACCTTTCTGCACCACGTGAACAAACTTCTTCAGCTTCAGCACAGCAGAAGCTTGCCAAACCAATCACTTTTTATTTTAATACCTATGCTGGCCAAGGGTCTACAAGGTACATAGCTCTGAGCCTACCACATCAAAGAACACAGGAAAGAAGGAGACTGTCCTTGCCCTCAGAGAGCTTTGAGGGAACTGTGAGGGTGGTAAGGATAAGCAGTATTCAGAAGTCAAAAACTGAGTTTGAGAAACACCAAGCTGGATCTACAAAGAGTTGACAGGTCTTCAAAACACAAGGCTCTCAAATATCCTGGGGTATCCTGAGGCTTCTGGAGTTGGATAGTGGCAGAACTCCAACTCCAGCAGAGGAAGAGAGAAGCCTCGCAGACACCCACTGGCAGTGGTTATGGAGTGGAATCTGGGGTTGGGGTTTCTGGAGAGATGACATCACTGCAGATGAGAATCGATGGCTGAATAGGACATGGCCCCACACGGAGAAGGGAGCTAGTAGAGGTGGTATCTGGCATGAGTATCCCTTCCTGTGGGCAAGCATTTATGCTCTGAGCCTCACTCTGTCATGGGAAAAGTAGATGCTACACCTAATTCTCATAGAATTATCAGGCATTAGTGAGATAACACAAATATATCATCCCTCTGTAAACCCTGTGGGATACATCTTCATGCTAACTGGGGCCAGGAAGTTTGACAGGAATGGGGTTAGCTTCTCATCTCAAAGCCTTTCTTCTAAAAGCTCCTTCAAGGCCAGCCTGGGCTACATAGTGAGACCTTGTCCAAAAAAGTCTCTTCTCTGCAGTTAGGCAAGAAAAATAAAAGGCATCAATATTGGAAAAGAAAAGAGGAAAACTATTTCTACTTTCAGATGACATGTTCTTATATAGAGAAAAATCCCCAGAAACCAAACAAAATCTAGTTGAACTAACAAATTTGTTTAGCATAATTATAAGCTACAGTGTTAAATATATAAAAATCAATGGTAATTCTACATACTAGCTATGGACAATCTGAAAATGAAATTAAGGAAAACAATCCAACCATGGCGAGGCACACTTGTAATCCCAGCTACCTGGGAGGTAGAGGCAAGAGGATCAAGACTTTGAGGCCAGCCTGGGAAAGTTAGCAAGACCCTATCTCAAAAACAAAAAGTAAAGGGCTCAGTGGCAGAGTGCTTGACTACCATGTACAAGACCCTGGATTCCATCCCCAGTATGGGAGAGGAAGGCAACAAAAAATAATCCATTCTGAGTAGAATCAAAAAAAAAAAAACCAGGAATATTGGGATATAATAAAAGATGCGCACACTGCCAAGCTCTGTGGCAGAAACACTGCTTCAAGGATCAGCCCTTGCCTAGAAAGCACAAGACCCTGAGTTTAGTCGCCCGTACTGCTTCCCCCAAACAAAGTTTTTTAAAAAAAGAATTTTGTTTTCACAAAAGAAAAAGAGAAGAGGGGAGGAGGAGGGAGAGGGGAGGGAGAGGAGAGAAAAAAGAAAAGACTGCTTCAGGCAGGACAGGTAGTGAGTTTTAAGATCCCCGGCTGGGATCCTTTCCTACCTTTCAAAAAAATGTATTAGGTTGTATCTGACACAATAATCATGTGCAAGACTTGCACAATATGAAGTGAGAGCAGGAAATGAACCCAGAGCCTGCAGCGGCATCAGTCATTTCCCACCTGTGTTTTCCGCTCGCCCATCCTCCCAC